GTATACATTAAGAGTTATACCAATTATAGTGAGGGTTGTTTCGAAATGCATTCTGTTGGAATTTTGGGAGAAGAATCTGCCCGAATCTTGTGAGATTTATTTGATGCTGTTAGATTGATTTTTGTGAAAAACTTAAAGAATAAAAGTTGTTTTTCTATGTATTTACTAGCTCTCTATAAAATTTCATAATTGTTTGATACATATAGAAAGAGTTATGCACATTTTAGTATAGATGAGTTAGGAGGAAACACTGCTGGAATTTTGGGAGGAAAAGAAATTCCAAATTTTTAAAAATGGACATTTCCGAATTTTTATGAAAGAAATTAGTTTTAGTTACTTGAATTAAGTTAATTAATGATTTTAATTAGTCTAAATTTTATATAGACACCTAAGTAAATGCAATAAATGAATTTAATGCCAACTCACCCATTATGGTTTCCAAAGAGCCGGCTTTCCTCATGACTCATCCATAACCTTTACACCTTATCCCATTAATTTCTAACACTTGTAGCTAAATGAAAGTAATTATATATATGGCAAGTGTTAAAATGGGAGAAAAATTTTAATAACCCGTAGGTACCAAAAATTGAGAGAGAAAAGGCAAGAAAGAAAAGAGAGGAAGAAAAACGTGAGGAGAGAAAGGAAAGGAAAGAAAAAGAGAAAGGGAAAAAGAAAAGGAAAAGAGCTAAGGAAATTCTAATCAAACCTAAAAGAGGTAAGTAGGTTTTATTTTTTTGGCTGATTAATATCTTAAATTATTTTTTTTAAAGTTATTTTGTTAGTGTTTATTTCATGGGTTGTAATAATTTTCAATGGTTATATGTTTGATGCTTGGGATAAATCTATGTATGGATGCCTTGTTGTGATGATTTATGATGTTATGATTTTTTGAAAAATTTCCAAGTATGTGGTGATGGGTTGGATTGAACTTGGACTAAATTTAAGTGAACTAAAACATGTTTAAAGTTGGCTTAGAATGAACTAATAAATTAGTGTTGATAAGGAGTAAGTTCTGTCCGAATTTTAGGGTGCATGTTCAAGGATTTTAGGTCGATTTCTGGGTAACACTTAAAGAATAAAAGTTGTTTATATATGTTTCAACTAAATCCTTTTAAAATTTCTTGGTCATTGGATTTTTGTACAAAGAGCTATACCCGATTTAGTATGGATAGCTCTAGACAAACTACTACTAGGTAAATTGCTCCCTAAGTTTCAAATATTTTTAATTAATTGTGTACTTGGTATTTAGATCTAATTTTTGGATATGTTATAAATAAATATGTCTAGTATCTAAAATAAAATGGGTAAGATTTAATTATGTTTTGAAATTGGAAAATTATTTACTCGATTAGGAGTTGCCCGGTAATAAACCCTAAAATAAAAAAAAAAATAGACTTGGACAAAATTAATATGTTTGAAATAAACTAAATGGGCTTGGACTAAATAAAATAGAATTGAATAGAGTCAATGGACCTAGGATAAAGTTAATAGGCTCGGATTAAAGTAAATGGACTTGGATCTTCTTTTAAATATTAATGAAACTAATGAACAATACTAATGAGCGGAGATTGTGTTCTCGTTGTGGGTATCATGATTGGTATGTGAGCAATGGATAAATTCTGAATGTGGGTTGGACCATGAGTATGGCATGAGAATGAAAGGTTGGTACCCGAATTTGGTTGAATGTGATTAAATATGTCATCACGTGCATCATGTGCATAGTGGGTGGTTTAAGACAAGTCAATTGATTGAGAAATGATTTATACATCTAGGTTTGATAACCTAACCGAAATAAATGGGTATTAGTAGTCCAATACTCTAACATGTGTGCCCGCACTATTAGACGATGGATTTTCGCTAATAGTAGTTACAACGAGGATAATTCTGTTGTAGCGAGAAGATGATCCGAGGATCATCCGGATGAAATCAAGTCTGTGTGCTTGCACCTTGTTAGACGATGGATTCCCGCTAACGATAGTTACAACGAGGGATAATTCCATTGTAGCAGAAGGTGATCCGCGGACCACCGGATGATAAATAGAGTAGATCGGCTAATAACCGGGGTATGTGAGATTAAAATTTATGAGTATGGTGGGAAGTCAAAACGGCATTGCATATCACGTGCATCACCCCGCTTACCGAGCTTTGGCTCACCTCGTTGTTATTTTTTTTTATGTCTTGACGGAAAAAAGACAAGTTGGTACGGATGCGGTGGCTCCTCCTAATCGGCTCATGTGAGGCACCATATATTAGTTTTTATTTTATCCGTAAATTTGGGGTATGAAGTTCGTGAGAAATTGAATATCGCCCGTAATGTTTTATTAATGTATTTAATTATGTTATGTAAATTTTATCTTAATGAGTTATATACGTAATGTAGTGTTAAAGTCCTAAAAATATCATAAGAACACTACTTAGAGTTTAAGGTATGTCGGCGTAACGTGCTTCGTCCAGTACTCTACTTGGGTAGTAGAAATATGATTGGGGCGGGGGCGTTACGGTCTCGATCTCGTTATTATTTTTAAATTTTAAACATGGAATGAATTTAAATAGATAAAAATTAAAAATTGAATTAGATAGATAAAATAAAAAATTAGACACTCAAATAGAAAAAAAAAAAAGCACTCAAATCTAATTTTTTACAGTGGCAGATTTCTCTTAATTCAATTAACCAAACTTCGACAAAAACAAATACTGGGTTTCAAATGAAGACAGAGCCAGCAAGGGAAAGAAAATATGTATTAGAACTTTATATTGAAGAACAAACATACCAACCCACATAACTTGTTCCAAGTAAGCAAAAGATAAGAACTTTTAAAAGTGTATTAAACTCTTAAAATGGTGTAAAAATCTATCTTATTATTGCCTCGATAACTTAAAGTTACGTCAAATGACAACATGAGTAATAATGACACAAGTGAAGAACAAGAAAAAGAAAGGAAATCATGCGTGGATGATTATAAGCTAGGAAAAAAACTCCCATTTTGATAAAACCCAAGAATAACAAAAGAGAGAGAGTTTTACCTGAAAGCAAGAAAGAAACTAAGTTGAAGATGTTGTTAATAAGTGTTGGTTGCAGAAGATGTATGAAGAAAGAAAGAAAAAAAGAAAGAAAGATTGAGTCTTGATTCCTCCTACAAAGAGAAAGAGGATTGAAAGATTAGCATCTATAGGTTCTAACCATAGAATGGCCAATAAAAAGTGAAATGGTAGCAAGAGATGAGAATTCCAAATTATAAACAAATGAAAAATTCGATGATGATGAGTTCAGATAATTTTTGAAGCTAATACACTAACTTTTTTCAAGGGAATTGAACATGCTGTTGATGAAAAGGAGGAGAGAGAAAACTTTTTTTTTTCTTTTCTCTGAAAATATTTATTTGATTTTTTTTTTATTTTTTGTCACGTGGCAAATGAATTTGACATGGCATGCTATGTGGTTTTTTTTTTTTTTTTGCCATCTATTAGTTTAAATAGAAAATTGGCCAGATAAAAATCGAAGGGACTACGTTAAGAAAAATTTATGAGAACAGAGAGGGGTTGAATAAGAAAAAACATGTTAAGAAAATGTCAAAAATAGAAAGACGTTGGTTGCAATTAAACAATTTTATGTATAATAGTTGTTTGGTTTGTGTTGGTGGTTTGTGAAGGATGGTGGGAATGGGCGATTCATAGTTACAGGCGGTGTGGGTAGAATGGGGTTTGTGTTGACAGTAGAAGATGAATGCCTCGAGGGTGTGGATGTAGGGCATTAACCGAGTTGGATGGTCGAGATAGACATCAAAGTCTCAAACAAGGTTTTTAGATCTGCAAAACCCTCATCTTGCCTTTTGTGCACCATCTCCCATTTCCTAGATTGTTCTTTCATGCTCTTGGTCACTTCTTCTATTTTTTCTGTAGTTTCACAAGCACTGATTCTTCTAGCCTGTGCAAGTCATCTATCTTCATATTTTTGGCCAAGAAAGTCATATCAAGGATGGCAGGCTCTGATACAAGTTGTTATGGGTTTTCTTGAGGACAAAGGCAGAGAGGAAGAAAAAGACGAAGAATGAGAGAAGGGGGGGGGGGGACAGGAATTGTTTATCGATTCATTTTCCGCACTGCAAATTCTGTCACAGAGATATATATATAACTCTCTACCCTCCTACCCTTTAACAATAAGAGCCTTGGCCCAAGAGAATTAGTAGTCCCTCAACCCATCCCCTATTCCAGATCGCATGAGCTAAAGGCTAGACCCCTTACAACAACTTAAAACCCAACCCAATCCAACTCAATTCCTTCAAAACCTAGCTGAAGATAAAACCCCTAAATTGATTTAAGGACATCCCATGCTACCCGCGTCGCCATCTCTATAGACTAATTGGCTAGATTGATGAACAATTTCGTCTACGAAAATTTGTTAAGGAAAAGGACAAGATCATATAAGGTTTCTTACTATATATATATATATATATATATATATATATTGGTGTCTCTGTAACTTTTTTTTTTTTTCACCAAGGCAAGGCTAACTTTAGATAAAATCGGATTTTTTGGCAACTATATGGACGGATATAATAAATGCTTATAAAATCACGTGTAAACTTGACGAATGTGTTAATTATCAAAAGAGTTGGAGGGGAGGGATAGGAAATTTTGTCAAGTGATGAAAATGGTTAAGAGAAATAGATACAATTAAATGGTTTGAAATTCAATCAATAATAGAGATATATTTTGATCTAATTTGAGGTTTCTCCCAATAGAGAGAGAGAGAGAGAGAGAGAGAGAGATAAATATAAAATTAACTATAAATCAAAAACGAAAATAATTTGCTTGCCCTACAACTTCATCCAAATAAACGCAACAACAGTACAATACTGTATTATCTGACATATATCTACTACTGCTGACTTTTGAAAGAGGACATAATGCCCACTAGGGAATCCGCGGTAATTTTGATCTCTCCCCTCTCGCCATGCTCACCTAATCCTGAAGAAGTTCAAGCATTGCCATTAGAGGCATCATCTCCTCCATTTCGAAGGCGGGGCGCCATCTCCTCCATTTTGAAGGCGAGGGACAACGACTGGTCCGCCTCGAACTTTTTCAAGCGCATAGCTTATTCTCAATGGACGACCTAACAATGCCTGCAATGAAATTATTTACCATCATTCTTGGAAGCATTTTCCACCACTGACCAAAATGAAAACAATCAAGAATCCACGCTCACCTTTCCATCCATTGCATCTTTTGCAGACACAGCCTCGTCTTGCTTAGAAAAACTAACAAACCCAAACCCTCTTGATCTACCACTGTCTTTATCATACAATATCCTCACTAAACCACAACCATCCCAATAAATTAGAAATCGCCACAGATTAGATTAGGCAAAAGGGATTGAACCATTCAGTGAGACAATTCATCGAACAAGTGGATGACATAATAATTTAAAAGCCCAAATAATCGCAATTACGTTAATGGTGTTTTGGGATTATTACCAGGTTTGCAAAGTAGTAATAATAATACCTTCAGTGACATCTCCAAAGGAATTGAAAGCATCTTTTAAGGACTTCTCGTCAACTGACCATGACAAACCTTGAAAACACACACAAAAACCTCTGAAAGTAAGCAACGAATATCATCATCACATATCTATACAAGATATTCTAGCTCAAAAAAATACGAGGGTGAGAGAGAGACCTGCAACAAACAGTTTATTATTGGTGGTAAGAGAATTTGGGTTGTGAACTTCTGTCAAAGCTTTTCTAGCAACTGACGTGAGATTTCTAATCATCTTTTGTTCGATTTTTTTTTTTTTTTTCATGACCATCCTCTGCCTTTCGTTATTCTTTCTGGGTTTATATACAAATTGTTTTTAGTACTTATAACTTAGTACCTGCAGTTTGTCAAAACTAATTAATCAGTCCTTATATTATTAAAAATAATTGAAATAATCCCTTGACCTTTTTCTCTTATGAAAGTTTCCCATCCTACCTGGTCGTGTTTTTCTTTTTACTTGCTATTTTCAATATAATAATAACTATAATATAATTTAGAAAAGAACATGGAATTGATAAAAATTAAATAATAGTTTTAAGCTATGCAACTAGTCATTGAAATAATCTATTGACCTTTTTCTCTCATTAAAGTTTTTAATCCTGTTTATTTGTGTTTTTCTTTTTACTTATTGTTTAAAATAATAATAATAATAGTAGTAGTAATTTAAAAAAGAACATGAAATCAAAAAGGTTCTGCAATAATTTTGGGCTCTCCAACTCAATAACCATGAGTTATAAAATCCAACCAATTAAATACTTACACATAATAAAGAAAAGAAAAATTACACTATAAGTACATGAATTTTTAATTTTTTTAATTGAGTACATGAATTTTAATTTTTTTATTTAAGCATGTTAATTTTTTTAAAAACTATTAATCAAGTCTTTTTCGTTCAACTTCTATCCATTGCTATGCTAGTTTGTCATTTGTCTCACAATAATAAATTACTACTACAATAATAGTAGTAGTAATTTAAAAAAGAACATGAAATCAAAAAGGTTCTGCAATAATTTTGGGCTCTCCAACTCAATAACCATGAGTTATAAAATCCAACCAATTAAATACTTACACATAATAAAGAAAAGAAAAATTACACTATAAGTACATGAATTTTTAATTTTTTTAATTGAGTACATGAATTTTAATTTTTTTATTTAAGCATGTTAATTTTTTTAAAAACTATTAATCAAGTATTTTTCGTTCAACTTCTATCCATTGCTATGCTAGTTTGTCATTTGTCTCACAATAATAAATTATGATTTTTATTTTTGGAGAAAACTTTCTGTCTCAAATTATTTTGTTATTTTCTTTCTTTAAACATCTAAATTATCTTTTTTTTATAGCAACATAATTTGAAAGGAAATGTTTCATTTAAGAATAAAATAGCAAAGTTATAATTTAGTAGTTTGAAGTAAATTACATGTCAACAGATAACAAAAACAGATGACATGAATTGAACAAAAACAATACTTTATTAATAGTTTTGAAAAAATAAATATATTTAAACAATAAAAAATTAAAATTCTCATACTCAATTGAGAAAAAGCAAAATTTAATGTATTTATTGTATAATTATCCATAAAAAAATCATAACAACTTCTACTTCTCTCTCAGTTTTTTTTTTTTTTTAAAGAATTGCATCATATTCTATTTGTATTATCGTGTGATTGAAAAAAAAAAGAGATATATATCAGGAACAATATTTATTCATCTTATAATGACACAAAATCTATTAATTATTTTAATTAATGAATTTCATGTTTTTTGTGAGAAAAAGAAAAACTGTTCACGATATACTAAATAATTTCTCGTGATTGATGTGCTTGACAACTCTTTACTTCTATATTGTCAAGTCCGGACTAGTGTAAAAACACTCTATAATTGAAAAGGAGACTTATAAATGAATTTAAAACCATGGCGATTACATCTGTAATTTTGAAACCGCAAGGAGTAATCAATTATTTTCATTAAACTACGGAGACGACACCGCAATAAATTTTTGTATGGACCTTCTAAATTTCGTGACTTAAGACGTGGCCCTCGGCTAATAGCCTGGAAAAATCTAAAATCAAATATTTCCGAGCTGGAAAGACATGGGCCTAACTCGCTGCCTGCAATTATGCTGGGCTTGGAAAATCGTAGCCTAGGATTACCACAAGAAAACGAGGAGCAGCAGTCGCAGCCATTTTCACAGGAAAACAGGCAGTCTCTGTTGCGGGGACGGGATTACAAGTCAGTTCTCTTTCTCAGTTGTTGTTTGATTACTACGATATATTTTAGCCATTTTCATTCTATTTGCATCCAATTAAACTTGCAATGGAAAGTTTGAAGTGGGATTGGTGAATTTTAAACGAAAATAAATGAAAGCCAATTCTACGTCTGCGCACTAACTGTTCGATGCAATGCCACCGTGTGTGTGATACTTTTTTTTGTTAAGGCGCACTCTTTCTCTTTCTGTTCTTTGCTTTGAGCTTTGCTATGTCGTTGTGGGCTGTCTTGGTATAGTATTTCTTTTACTATTTGTTTTGGCCCTGGTTCTTTATCTTGGTATTGACTTTGTAGCTTGTTTGGGCCCTTGTGAATCTTTTTCTGCTAATGCTAATACCATGATTCCCTTCATAAAATTTGCACCCTAACAGTTTGATTCATCGTTGGATTTTTTTCTGTGTATCTTGAATACAGGATGATTTGTTTATCCGAATCAGATATTTAACAAGGGGAAAACTAATGTGGGGAAGTTACCATATGCTGACATTTTTGTATGTCGGTGAAAAGATATATCGAGTTTTGGGGTTTTGCCCTATTTTTTCATAATGGTGTTGAATAGGAGTTGAGACATCTTTAAGTTTCTAGATTTGTAAATAGTCTTACCGATTCAGTATCTTGATATTTACTGATAAAGTAAGACAGAAAGTGGGTTTGTTTGTCATCTCTAGAGAAGTTTTATTAGAGAATAGGTTTCCTCCGCCTTCAATACCCAATACCAGTCAGTTATCATTAATGTGCCTTTTTTATGCTTTTCATATAATATAAGAAACAAGATATCGTGTTATTTACTCCTTTGAATGCGTTTTCGGTACTTTCATTCCTTTACATGGAGTCATCTCTTCTTGAAGTTTCTGTCACTTTAGAATTTCATTTTATATGGAAAATAACATTGCTAAGATGTTTTAGCGGGAAATGCAGGTGCAAAAGAGAAAATATGAATGCATTCAAAGCTTTCAAAGCCCAAGTTCCAATTGCATGGAGTCCACACCTGTATATAACTTTGGTGAGGGGCATTCCAGGAACCAGGAGACTTCACAGGCGTACCTTGGAGGCATTGCGTCTTCGCAAGTGCAACCGGACTGTCATGCGATGGAATACTCCTACAGTCAGGGGCATGCTCCAGCAGGTTTTGGTTTAAGCTCATGTTAAGTCTTTATTTGCATTTTATCAGAAAAATAAAGTCTTGAATTGTTGTAATTGCTTGGACTCTTAGGTCATTGTTTTGAATGTCTTTCTTTCTCTCATCAGGTGAAGAGGTTAGTTGTGATTGAGACAGAAGAGATGTTCAAGGCCCGCAAACAAAATAAGGCAGACCACCAAGCTGTACGCCCGCCATTGGTCATAAACCACTTGCCTGCCTCTGCAAGCAATGCTTCTTAGAGTGAGCTTTTGTTCTATGTAATTTTTTCGGAGGTCAGCTTTCTGTTTCTTAAAATTTGCATCTGTTGCTCAAGATTAACTTCTTTTTTTCTCCAGCTCTGTATTTCTAGAAAGATGCTGATTTTACAGTTTTCCTTAGTCTACATAGTGGAGTCAGTGGATTATACATCTCTTTGCTCCGGTATTTACATAAATATCAGAATTCTAAATTAGCAACTTTGCATCTACAAGCTTTGTAGTTTGACCAATGATTTTAATAAATACTTGGTTCTAAATATATGAATCTGAAAATTGTGTCTTAAATCATACTATGAATGGACACACAAAATTACATCTTAAGTAGCTTCATTTTCAATGGGTCTGAAAATGGAGCATAAACTACCACCGTGCAATTCGATTTTACAGGCTGTGTAAAGAAATTTTAGAACATTAGCAACGGCTTGGCGAGCATGTAGACTAGGGTCCTTCCTGTATGTCCCTTTCCTCTAGTTTGCTTATGACAGTTAAATCATTCCATCCTCCTTCACCATCTCTAAAACAGAATCATTTCCAGTTTTAATCTCTTTCTCGTCAGAGTTCTGGGGCTTGATATACTGCTGGATTTTGTACTGATGTCCCCTTGCAAAAACTAGGAAAATGAAGAAGTTCAACACTCCCAGTACTGCAAGCATCCAGTAGAAGTTATTTAACTTCCCTTTATTCAAGTTGCTCCTGAGCCAGATTTTCTTGGTAGCCTTGTCAACTAAAGACACCAACAAACTGCTAATGAAGAAACCCATTGAGATGGTGCTAAGGAAAAGCCCAGTGCTCATCGATTTCATCCTTGCTGGTGCCTCTCTGATGAAAAACTCAAGTTGTCCCACGTAAACAAAAGCCTCCCCTGCACCCACTAGGAAATATTGGGGGACAAGCCAAAAGGCACTTATTTTTGTATTTTGTTGAATAGCAATTTCCCTTCTTTCTTTCTCAATGATAGCAGCAGCCACCATAGCTACTATTGAAAGAAGGAGTCCAATTCCAATCCTTTGAAGGCTTGTCAGTCCCTGTGCATTGTGGGTGAGCTTTCGAGCCAGGGGAACGAAGAGTCTTTCATTTAGGGATGTAAAGAGGAGGATGGTTATAAAGAGAAAGGTGGAGTATGAACCTGATGGAATAACTAGGGATCCAACTTTTCGGTTCATGAAGGTCGCTTGCTCAATGGTGAAAGTAGTCATTTGAGAGTAGACTGTCCAAAAGAGGATGCATGTAGACCAAATTGGGATGAGCTTTATTACCATCTTCACCTCTTCAACTTCCATAACAGTTGATACTATCCAAGGGTCATTTTTTAGCACACTGATGGAGGTGGGATCATCCATAATCGCAGCCTTGTCGAGACACCTGATGAATAACACATGAGGGGGAAGTGGAATCTAGCAAATGCATATGAAAATACTTATAAGAGTAGTGACAGTAATGATGATAGAATTCTTGGATATAAGAAGGAAATTTTCCTTAAAGACCGGAGAATAAGCCAAAACAGCATTGTTTCTGAAGTAATTGTTTTGCCAAGTGAAAAAAACTTACTTGAATTTCTCCGTGTGGGGAACCGTGGCGCTGTCATAACCATTCAGAAGGCTGGGATGAGAAGGATAAGGATGACTCCTCTTCTTCCATGCCAAGTATGCTACCCTCCATATGATAGTTAATGGACTACCTCGAGGCTTCTTCAAACGGTACCATGGTGTCCCACAGAGCAATACTGCTACTGCGATCACCATTGTCCCTGCTGAAATTCCATATCCCCACCCTCTTCCCACATTATCTTGGATGTATACCAGCACTATAACTGCAAACAATGACCCAATGCTAATGAAAAAATAGAACCTATTGAAGAAGAAAATCATCGCCTTCTCCTCCTTGGGATCTGTTTGATCGAACTGATCAGATCCAAAACCTGAGACATTGGACTTAATTCCACCCCCACCAAGTGCTGTAGTATAAAGAGCTGCATATAGTAGAGCCAGTTGACTTCCACTGGCCTCGACACACTGATGATATTGTTTCCTGAAGTCATCGCACGCTGGGGGTATCATGCTAGGAATGGTTGTGGCCGCTGCTAGTAGACTGACCCCCTGGTGCATATGGAATGGAATTCTTAAATAAGAGATAATCGTGCACAGATTTTGGTAGGCCTAGCTCCTTTGATTTTTAGGTCCATGTCATTGAATAGAACCTTCATCAAGGTTTGGCTTAATGATTAAATCATATGCTTCTGATTTTCTTTGCCGGAACTTGGAAGGGTATCACAGTTCAATGCAATAGCCGGTTTCCAGCTCTCACTAGCATGTTGATACTAAAGCAGCATAAATTATCAGAGATAACGTGGCATTTTATCTTCTTTAAATCAGTGACATGTACGGCATGCAATATTTTAGTTGGAAGCTTACCAAAGCAGTTATGGATGCAAAGATAGCAACTGTCAAGTACCGACCAAGCTTAGCATCTGCCAAGAAACCTCCAAGGAGGCCAAGAAGGTTGAGAGTACCCATGAAGTTGGTGACTATGGTTGCAGATTTTGCTGATGAAATATGCAAATCTCCTACTAGGTATGTCACTAAATTCATTGATATGCCCATGACGCATATTCTTTCTGAAAGTTCAGTCCCTGCAAAACAAATTAAAGTGGAGATTAACGAAGTGCTTCGATACATATACTTAATAACACGTAGGCTCTTGTTAATGAGAAGCACCCAAAATGAGCCCTGCAGCAATCCATCCTCCAGTTCTGGACTTGTCCACGGGATTTCCTCGGAAGTCTACTGCAGGATCAATATGTCCTCCATCTTCACTGCCGTGGCTTGCTGCTAAAACCTGTTATAGTTGAGAGAGACGATAAGAAAATAAGCTATTTTACAATGAAATAGTTAGTATCACAGTAGAGATGTTCAGCAGTTACCATTTTTGAGGGAGGGGAGAGAGAGAGAGCAAGGATTGGTGCTATGTAGACCTTAACTTTTACAAAAGAAGAATGGAACGGGAGTACATTAGGGAACAGCTACTTGGTTCTGTAGTACTCGAGAGAATGGTTGAATGAGTTCATGATTGGGAGGGAATATAAATATGATAAGGGTTGGGCATTGTAAGAAGGCAATGGTCGCACTCTTTCTAGTGGTGGTGAAGAGTGGCTTGTGATTGTTTGTTGTTTGTATACTACAATAACCATGTGGGAAACTTGGACATGTTATCATCTTGTGGTTTAGGTTCGTACAGCCACAACCTTGCAAACTTTGGAAAGTGACAATCCCTGTATTCCAATTTTGCTTCTTATCTCTTCTTCATCAAATCATCATTATGAGATTTGAAAGATCATCTAAAACGTCGGACACTTGGACTAATACTTAGTGTCATGTGGGACTGATCAGAAACCGTTGGCCGCCCTATCGATTGACTGTATATTGATTAAACCATATACTAAGTTTTTCCTTTTTCAGGTCATGTCCTAGGATAGCATACCCTAATCCCCAAGAATCACTTGTTTTATTGTTATGTAGAATGTTTGACGTGCCCCCACCATTCTTTCATCAGTGATGGCAAATTGACACGCTTAAGCAAGCAGAAAATAATGTAGAATTAGACAATAAACTGTTTTGTTTATTTTTGTTTAAGGGCTAGCATAATTTCGGTTAATTGAAAAACCGAATTGAATTATGTATTTCGGTTTGGTTTTGAACTTAAATTTGTAAAATTAAAAACTGATTTGAAATACCAAAATTATTTCGGTTCGGTTTTTAGAAAAAAAATTAGTTTTCATCGAAAATCGAATATATTATAGCAAGATTAGGGATTTATAAAAATTTCATTTCCTACACCTAGTTTGAGATTTAAATTATGATATTCAAGAATGAAGCATACCCTTTATTAGCTCAGTTCATATACTAACAAATGAAAAGCTTCTAAATATTAGCACAATTCATATTTAGAATTTATCAATTTAAAAAAAAATTATTTTGGTTAAAACTGAATTTTTACGAAACTGAACCGAATTAATTTAATTTCAAACTGAACTTATTGAATTTAATTGGTTCAATTTTGGTTTTTTTTTAATTTGGTTAATCGAAAACCAAACCAAATTTATACAAAATCGAATTATTTAACCAAAGCTCACCCTTATTTTTGTTAATGCAATGGAGAAGAAATGCTTCTTTTCATTTCAAGCGTAAGCCAGAGGTTCAATTTCCATATATATAACGTCAAGTTATTTTGACTGATTAACCCGGTTAACATTCATTTTAAGGAAAAACAGACAATAACAGGATTTGTTTCAAGCATTCAATCAATCAAGAAAAAGGTACTCTTTGTGGAGTGGGAAGTTACTTTGAGAGAATTATTGAGGATGGTAGGGCTACACTTTCTGATTTTTTGTTCTGCTAAGATTAATTCCCTAATTAAAAGGGTACATATATATCCACACACTTGCACCAATTGATCGATCACTGCTGGGCCGAATTGCTAATTTTTCATCGAGCTTGGAGTTGGAGAAACGTCTAGCCCAATTATTGTAATTATTATTTAGATCGTGAGCTTCTAGTCTATCTTGAAGGAGCGGGTAACCAAGCATTTCAATTTAGTCCCAAAATTGTCTTAACTCTGTGAGTGGCTAAATTTTTATTTATGACCAGAAACCACTTCAAATAGAATTGGAAAGGGACGGATGGGGTAGAAATTTTAGCAATGAATCGACTAACCTTTTCTTTTCATTCCTTTTCTTTTGAACAATGGTTAGCAAATCAGAGGTTAGTGTTAATGTTATGGACCAATTTGATCACCACAAAAGGTTGGGTACCATATCTTGGTGGCTAAATCTCCAGCAACCTCTCCTTGGTGCCGAAATCAAGAGAAGTTATTCGTTGCTCGTGCTGTTCAAAGAGACCCTACTCAAGTTCATCTTTTTCAATCGAAGAACTTGTTAAAACTATGTCATTTTGATTTAACCCACCCTCTATCTTCTATTACTGCTATCCGAGCACATGCTTGCTCAGTTCATTCCGATCGATTCCATAGAATATTTCATCTCTTCAAAGAAATTACCGTAAGGATTCGAACCCACCCACTTAAAGGATGAGCACATGAAAAGAAGGCAAACCCTTCCCGATTCCTGACTATTGTTCCCAAGAACAACTTAACCTAGATATTCTTAGAAGCCATATCCATGGAATGGGGGCAAGTCCTTGATGTTAAGAGATTTTTTTTTTTTTGGTCGTATTTTCAAAAGAATAAAAAATTTATCGCTTCCTTTAATTATCCTCTGCTGTAATTTCTCTTTTTGAGAAAAAAAAAACTTCTGGGGAAAGTTTTTTTTTTTTTTTTCTCACTTAATGAGATAGCAAATTTATAAACTTAAATGGTGTGATCCAAAATTAATTTATGTAAAACAATCTTTAAATATTACCCATCTATGTTTGTACTTTTTGTTTGGTACTTATTTATGCGTTAGTTAATCTAATCCTCATATTTTTAGCATTGTATTTTGTTTTTTTTTCGTCCACGTACTCAAAGTGCATTAGACTTCTAGTAATGTTTTCTATTATAACGGAGAAGAAATGACACACATATTGGGAGGAGATGTCAAAAAATATAGTCTAGCTTTAAGCATGTAACCTATAAGTCATGTTTGAATTTTTTATTTTTTGATAAAGATGAAAATGTGAGCAGGGTATTCTATACTTTTTGACATGCATGTAACATTACGTAGGTGTGTATATCGAAATTAAAATTTAAAATTTTTTTCAAGAATATCCAGGATCATACATGGCAATATATATAAAAATATGCCATCAACTACATGCATTTTCTTTGTAATTTACTTTTAGTGATTATGGTAGTAATTATGTTCAGGTTTTACTACTGACGTACGCCTACCTATAGGTTTATGTACTCGCTACATGAGCTTCTAATGGCTGAAGCTTTGGCCGAAATTTGTGGCCAACTTTCGGCAATATAGGCCTAAGCAGCCAGAGGCCATGCTTAAAGAGTGAGTTGTAACAATCAAAAAGATGTTGAAATGACGACATGCCAAGATATGGTTTACCGGCCATCATATTCAAGATCACATGGCCGGCCACTGCTGGTGAACATATTACCGGTATCTTAAATTCTGATCCCGACGAGTGTCCCACTGCATAAAGTTTTTTTGGTTTCTTAGCCAGATCAAGTAAGATATATTCGGCAGGTTGAACTTCAAGGAAATTCTTACGCATCATGAATCAATCAATAATTGAAGGCATGATGATTATTTTGTTCATATTTCGTCCTCTTGACTATCCAAAATAAGTGCAGTCAATTTTCAGATAATGATGGGGGCAAGCAGTGACGGTGACACAAGGAAAGAAAACATCTTAATTTTTGCAAGCTTTTATCGTAGTGTGGACGAAAGGAAATCTAAGTGATAACAAAACAAAATTTATATATATATTAGTCTTATGATTTCTTTCTTTTTTTAATTTTTTAACGAAGTTGTTCCTACGAACTCTTGTCTTGGCGTAAGGAAAAGTCTGAACATTAAGCGCAATTAGTTTTTTTGAATCCATTAGTTGGGTTATGCAAAGGGTAAAAACTTTAATATCCACCTTCAAATTCTTTCATCACTGAATGTACATTGAAAAACCTTTGATATATTATGAGATTATTAGATGTTTTTTTTCTATATACAACATCACGATAATGTTTTTAAGGTTGTTTAAATAAAAAAAAATATATATATAATATGGATTGACATGTAAATTAATTTGAAAATATCTATTATCACTAAATTAAAAAAAAAAAAAAACTATCATAGGATTATTTTTCATGTTTTTCTGTATCGTGTTTTGCCGATTATTTCTTTTTATGGAAAAAAGATACGTACGTATATATCCTTTTTTGAACATCATAAACATTGCATGAGTGCGACTTGTTTAATACAAATCAACTTTTAGGTAATTACTCATAGAAAGACACACGTATCATGCACTTATCGAGTTATAACATCATAAAATGGAGGCTGATGCCTAACCAGTGTCTCCATTATACTTCGATCTATTCTTTTATTCAATTAAAAATGTTGGTCGACATAAAAAGTGAGCGATATTTTTAACGTGCCTTTCACTGCCATCAACTTTTCGTGGTTGAAGATTACGCTTTCCAGATCTTTTGGGGCGATCTCGAAGGTTTGATTGTCTGTTTATGGCCATGCCGCGCTTCATTGTCGAGTCCTTGAAAAGAACAGATCCAATTATTGAGGATCTGTCCAAATTTATCTATATCTTTTGTGTCCCAAGTGTAAGAGTTCCACATGTAAATTTAATACCCATGTCCGATAAATCTTACGTTACACGTGTTTAATGATTATGAGATTCTCAAAATCGGCCGATCGAGAAATTTGAAGTCCATTTGAAGACTTTGGTTGGAAAAACTTAAATTGAGATCCTAATATATTACTCTTTTATCAATTAGGTTTCAAACTTCAATTTTGTCTCAAATTAATTTGACTTTGTAACCTTTCTGTTCATCCGATGTAATGGCGGTCAACCAATTTTATTTAATTTGAAAGTGATTTTGAATTTTAATTGCTCCCATCCAATGCTAGAAAATAAATCTCAATCCACTCTAAAGTATAATTTTAATGCAAAATCATAATAAATTCCTTTGTTTTTTTTTATCTTTTATGTAATCTGGTGAAGCAAGTCAAATTTATTGTGATTTAATATTGAAATTGTAGTAAATCAAAGCGTAATTCGATGCTTTGGATGAAGGCGTCTAATGAACATACATACGCATATCGGACGAAATCTTCTAACAAATTTCTAACAACAATGGATGACATTGTCCAATTTCGACTATAATTGGAGCAAATTAATAAAATAAAATAAAAAGATTCGGAATTCAACCTAAATATACGATTGAGGTTTTTTTTATGTCTTTTCATTCAAGTCACGTTGATGATGGAAGAGGCCCAAAAAAAGAAGAAAGACAAAAAGACAGGCTAAAAATGAATGGCTAAGCCCATCCCGAAAGCTAGTTCAAGGAGCAGTCAGACTCGGAATGAAACAAGGCGTATGGGCCTGATCCAAGAATTTGGTATTGTCGACAAATCTTCAAGAGAAGAAACGATTCTTAATGTGATTTCTTAGAACAGGGTTAGGACCAAAAGTATGGACAATTTGAATAAGTCTAAACTTACGAAAAAGAGTACCAGAATTGATTTACTAGAAAGCATTTCAGCCTTAGGATGAGTGAGACGCACCACAATCCAATAAGTAGATTACAGTTACATAGAATAAAGTTGATTTGATTGAGTTGTAATTATAAGTTTGAATTTCGATTCAATTTTTATAAATAGAAATGTTTTGTAAAGAACTTGTTTTTACACATGCCATCATCTCAAAAAATCATTTAAGAAACATGTAAAAATAAAAATAACTTCACAACTATGAAAATTACTAGATGGCTAATAAATTTAGGAAGATTGAAATTATCTCAAAAAATTAAGTGATGTTGATTGTGCTTAGGATCTCATTGTTGATAACCAAAGTATTGAGCTTTATACTTCAGTATTATAAACATTTGAGAAAAAAAAAAAATGAAGTACAGAAGGACCTCTTTTCTTTTTCTTTTTGGGCCCAAGGAAGTAGCACTAACAAGGCTTGAACACCTTAGTTCAGCCACCTAGAATGCACTCTGTAGAAAATCCAATAATATATTCCATTATTTTGGTATTATTATATTCCTAATAAGAAGCTACCAAAGGCTGATTGTGTTTATCATGGCTCTTTTGGTCTTCCATTTGTAACAGCTTAGCAAAAACTCCAACCAATGGTGCTGTATTATACGTGCAGGCCTCAGTCTGCATATAATTGCCTCTCTGGTCCATGAAATTATCTTGCTTATCTGGTCCTCCAACCAAAGCTCCAACTAAGACATTAGGGTTAGGCTCCTTCCGGCCATACCAATTGTCGTACCCTTGGGTGCACCCAATGAACCCCTGGTTCTCTCTGTATGACACAATCGAGGCCCCTCTATGGTGCACTCTTGTGGGGTATTTAGGACCATAACCCACTAAATAACTCATTTTCATTGGGTTAGAACCTAGGATGTAATCCACTTGAGATTTAGCAAAGTTGAGAATCTCTTCATAATCCACAGATCCTCCATGGCAGTTGAGCTTTTGATTCGAGTTCCGAAGGAAATCGGAGTATGTAGTGAGAAGGAATGCAGCTGTTGAAACATATTGCATGTTGTTCCATTCCCGGATGTGTAATAGACCACCTGGGCTACGATTCACGTTGGCGCCATTGTTCTTGTTAAGGCATGAGCATAGGTAGTACTCCGCTTTTGATCGGTATTGTTCTAATGTCTCCCCATGTTCCTTGTGTTTTTCTTCTACGAGCAACTGCTGTTACACACACAATCACACACAAAAGTCCTTTATATTATAACATGATAAAATGTGTAGAGAATCATTGAAAATACTGGAAAACAGGAACTTTAGAGATGAATTAAAATCTCACATGCCTTAAGTTGGTGAGGAAGGAAAAAAAAAAAAAAAAACTTATGACCCCTTTCATCTTGGCACAAATTAGATGAGTTTGCCTTTCAATTTGGAATTTAAGAGACATGTGCAACAATAATTCTGCCTCAGATGAGCAGCTCATGGATAAATATCTATCCAAGAATAGCTAAACATTTTAGTGATATTACCCCTCCTGCATGTGGACCATGAGCCCCATGTTTCCCTAACCACATCATATATATGTTACCTTTCTCATAAATTAAAGTTATAAAAATGTTTTACAAATAAACTTTGTATATAAATAAGTATCAGTTATTTTTATTTTTTAAGTTTTTTTTAGAAAGTATGAAAGATTTATTTATTTATTTATTTTAAAAAAATCATTTATAATAAGCGGCATAACGATATGTGGGTCTGCTCTATTAAAACTAGCTTGTGCATATGTGCCTCATCGAACAGGCTAGCACCCATAAATGAAAGAAGTGTGTCCATTCCCACAAACTGAAAAGCAGACCCTACCCTAAAGTTCTGAGAGGCCTATCGCCTTCTGCTATGGTACATGCCTACACATGCATATGCTATCCATCTTCTTTTTCCTCTTTCCCTATTTGAATCTATGGGATAAATTCATGTGATGCCAGATCATCACGTGCTCAGATGCGCGATCTTCTAACTGGTTTTTGCCATGTGGCAGTGATTTAGAATTGCCACCTCAAAATCTTAAGGATTTTATAAAGGAACTTAATTAGTTCAAATTTTGAAAATTCAACTTAAAAATTTCTTAAATTTAAATCCTATTAGGATAAGAATACAAAGTTTTATATAACGAAAATTTATAAAATAAAAAAAAATAATTAAAAAGTGGGATTTTGAGAAACTCACATCTCATCCGATCGGTCTCTAAATACTTTTCAAAAATTCAATAATTTTTAATTAAATACATTTGTCAATATAATTTCAAATAAATTCCATCAAAATATGCAATTTATGTAATAAAACCACGGCGTTTTAAAGAAGTCTAACATCTTCTATTAATCATTTTTCAAAAACATGGATGTACTTAAGAATTCGTTAGACTTTGAGGATCTAATTAAGAAAAACAATTCTTCATAAGTAATTCCACTTATAATCATTGCATAAATGGGTGGATTGATTTAAAGATTGCCAAAAATTTAAACACCTGCACATGGTTTTATGCTTCTGAATAACCCTTTCTTTTCTATATATATATTAACTCCATAGATGAGCCCGGTGCCTTAATTAGGGCTTGCTCCATCCATCAACTTTATCAAATGGTCAGAGGGAAAAAAAAAAAAAGTGAAAGTGTGACTTAAAGTAAATCATTATTATCTCACCTTTGAAACTGGACAAAAGCAAAATCCTATAAAGATTTGAAACTAGTCGACAGCCAAATAACAATATACCCAAAAATTTTGAACTTGAAGCATATGAGAGATGAAAAGATTTTTTTTTTCTTTTACCTTTGAAGCCATAATTTGAAGACCAGCATACTTCACATCCCAACTGAACTCTGTCATGGCCCAACCAGTCCCGCCAAAACGATCAGCATAGTCGATGACGTACTTCAAATACCTCTCATTGTCGGTGGCCTTGTACAGCCACAGAGCTCCCCATAACAATTCGTCTTTGTATCCACTCACCGACGCATAGTAGCTTTTCACCACCCCAATATTTTCATCATATTTACCTCTATATGTATCTCCAAACTCAAATAACTACACCAAAGTAAAATAAAATCTCGTATTAGTAAACTAAACCCACTATAAAATTTAAAACAAAAAAACAAAAAGCAATTATGGGTGTTAATTAGCATAATCTTAATGGAGGAATCAGTCAGGATCTCAACTATTTTTTTTTAATGGACACGTGTAATCATTTGAATTATAGTACTGATAGCAAAGGCTGTCCCCTACATAAAATGAAATTTCCTAATACTAGATTTTGCTGCGGTAATTTAGAACCCACTAGAATAAAGAATTAAGTATAATTGTAAGGTCTTAAAATAACCCCACAAGATTTAATTAAGCCATCTATTGACTAGAATTTGACTCGATTAATTTTACCTGTTGGGCATGGTGCAAGAGTAAGTGAGAGTAATGCGGGTTTGTTTTCTTGAACACTATTGACGCTGCAGCCATTGCCGCCGCAGTTTCTCCAGCAAGATCCGACCCGGGATTGTTCTCGTCAATCTTGTAAGCTTGCCGTGATGTGGTCATGTCCTCTGGCCGTTGCCAGCAATAGTGGTCGGTGTCACCATCACCCACCTGTACAAAATTAATTTTATAGTTTTAAAAGCAGCAATGTGATACAAATTTGAATTCTAATTAATGCAATGCATTAACGTACCTCCGCCCATAGCACGTTCGGGCTGGTATGTGCCTTGATGAAATAATCAGTGCCCCATTTAATTGCTTCTAATGCGTGTTCTAACTCTCCGGCAATGGCAATCTGATGTTGGAATTCTATTACACTCCATGAAAGCATTGTCACAGTGAAGGCCATTGGTAGTCCAAATTTTACATGGTCGCCTGCATCGTAATATCCTCCGACCAAGTCCACCTGCACAAATTAAACACGCATTAATGTTAATTATTTTGAGCAAAATAAAATGGTAATGAAATCAAGTCGATAATGAGCAACTGACTCCTTGTTCTAAGCCATCAGTGAGACCGGAATGGTGACGCCAAGTGACTCGCTGGTTGTAGGGTAAGCGACCAGAACGTTGTGATTCAAAGTAAAGAAGGCTCTTTTTTAAGGCATCACCATAATCAAAAGCAAGACTTGTATTCAAAATGGGGAGGATTGAGATCAGGAGAAGACACCAATGTTTTGCAAATCTGGTGGGTTTTGGAGCTCCATAATATTGGTGCTGCTCCTTTTTTCCCGTAGTCATCTTTCCCCTGTTTCCCAGCTCCCAGAAGAGCATTTTATTCCTTTTTGAATGGTGGAGGGAGGCTAGGGACTAGGGAGAGATGGGAAAAGGAAAAGAAGGGGAGACGAGTGAGGGATCACAGGGGCTTTGAGTCGTGTCCTCAATCTGTGCAATGTAGGATTTTGTACGTTTTTGCATGTGACTCTCACATGAGAGTGCGAATTGCTTTCGCTTTCTCCTCCTCTCTCTCTTCCTTTCTTCTCTGCATAAGCGTGATTTATGCAACGATTTTTATTGTTTTCGTGTGCTAGATGTGGAAAAAGGGTGGAATGTGGTCTTTAGTAGGACTTGGGAAAGATTATTACCTCTTCTTTATTATTAATTAAATGAAATTGTACGCAGTTTATCACATAGGAACGTTGTGTTTGTGTCATATCTACATGAAATTGTGTTTTTACAAAGATAATTACAATGTCATGATGCAGAGGTAAAAATATATCACTAATTACAAATGTGAGATTTATTCTCTCGATTTCATTTTAAAAACAGGTAATTATTTAATGCTCAATAACTATCTAAATATTTTGCTAATAAAAACAGAGAATCCTTGTCCAAATACACTATGTTATATATGGTTATTATTTAATGCGAAATCTTTCAATAACAAAATCTCCAAACTACAAAACGATTCCATTCCTTTTATATAGATTTTGAGAAATTAATTCCCTTACGTGGATTGTGGGTGGGACTCAGTTTTAAATTTTTAAATCTAATTACAGAAAAGTTACCAAAATGATAATAATTTGACAGAGTAAATCGATAAATTTTATGGTATTCTATGAATAACTAACTATATTTATATATATATAAATAGATACAAAGATGAGACAAAAAAAAAAAAAAATTGAAGTGTGAAACTATTTTTATCATGTTTGGATGTAATTTTTTCTTTTTGTTTATTTTTTTTCAAAATAAATCCGTAGAATAATAATTATTAATTACTCTTTTAGTATTTAAAATTCTAAAAAAAAAAATATGAATAGTTACAAAATACCCTTGAAAAATCAGCTTATATGGTCGATGGATTACTTTTCACACTATATTTGAGAGTTGAAATTATAGGGGAGATGTAAGAAATATATTTGTGGTAAATGCACAGGACGGGTACAAATAGGATGCTCGAGAGTTGAGATTCGATCAAAAAATTACTTCATCAAGAGCAGACTAGCATTTATGAAATGTGTCTATATCCAGAGATTCATATTCATGTGCTTCGAATTTAATATACAAACGTCCATAAATTTTGACCCTTAAAACATCTGATCTTGGAGCAACAGCAAGATGAACAGGTGTCTTCCTAGATTGCTTTGAAAGTGGTTCTGTCTAATATTCTGGTACTACTAAAGACTAAACTAATTAATTAGGCGATTATCCATTGATTACGACTGATGTTAAAGTATGATTTTTTTTATTAAGGTGTCAAAACCATTGTTTCTGTTTGGAAGATTTTGTTGACAGGTCCATGGATTGAACTTTTTTGTTATTTTATAGAGTAATGTCAGTACTAATAAACCATTTGACCCATGGAAGGAAGGCACTCCATGTGCAGGTACCGTCAACGTATAGTCCTAACCATATTCGAACGCAAAGTGTTATTTTTTTTTATTCATCCAATACTTGCAGGATCTTAGACTACAGAACGGAAAAAAAATTAATTTATTGAGATTTGAATCAAATCTATTAACAAAAATATCGAATATACAATTATTAGACTACATTTATTTATTTTTATTCATAAAAAAAACGTGTTAAACGTTGAATTATACAACAGAGATGATTATTTTTTATTGCATGATAACTAATAAATCAGAGTTATTGAGATTCAAAAAAAAAAAAATGAATATACGCAATCAATAGAGTATATTTACTTGTGTTCAAGCAAAAAAATTGAGCATTTAGCTGTCAACAGGGGACTATATATATATTAAGTTGGAATTAATTATTTTTTATCTGAGTCCTTTTCCGCGCTGCCATCTCTCATTTGGCACTCCTATTTACTGTTCGAATTCCATTTTGCTTCAACATGAAATCTAAAATGTGCTTTGATAGTTGACTGTTGCTTTGTAGCTATAAACTTATAATGGTATAATGATCAACTAATTTAGGTGGAGGCCATCAGGTGAAAAATCAAGAAAAGCTTTGGGGGTAGTCTTGATTGCACTAATCAATCCAAGATCGGTGGTCCTTTAGAGTATCATGTCATAATCATCTTCTCGTGTTAGTAAAAAGCAATTGACATAATTATTATCAAAGCAAGGCAAAGTCATGATTATGTAGGATTTTGAATGCACTTATCGAAAAGCTAACCATGAAAACATTTTTCCATTTCCTATCAAGCAAAGCTGTCAAGCTAGAGGTTGCTTGGCCTAGGCAGTTCTGGTGAGTTATGTTTTACTGTCTCTTCTTTTTTGTTTCTATCAATAGTGGATGAAAAAAAGAGTTCCCTCTTTTACATTATAATTCAAATTTACAAAGTTATAATATAAGATTTATAATACACTAATTAAGTAATGGTACTTATTAATTTGCAACTCTATAAAAACAGATTCTCAATGAAATAAATGTTTTTTTCTTTCTCTACGCATAAAAAAACAAAGTATCTTTTTGTCCACGTTATACTTGAATATTTATAATTATTATAACCAAGGTAAATTTAGTAAAATTAAAAAATGGCAAGAAAAATCTTTTTACGACATAATAAATAAGCATAGTTAACAATTTGTAATATTACGAATGGAATAGTACTGTTTTCTTCTTTTTAAATGTCATGATATTTATTGATCTCAATTCCAGTATATCATTCATAAATAGGACATTTACAAAGTAATTAGTTGATTTATATATTTATGAAATAATTTTTTATAATATAATTAGTTCAATTACTTAATAATACAACACCTTCAAAAGTTCAAATAACTATAGAAAAAAGCCGCCCAAGACTAGTCAAGTCGCACATTGTACCTAAATTCGTGATTAAAACTGAAAAGGACACCATGTGCAAAATAGAATTGAATGCTTTCAAATTGACGTGGTTTTAAATTCAACAATAACCTGGACCTGTACTTTCGGTGAAATGAAATTCTCGTTAAAAAGTTATGTCCATCAAGAGAGAATTGACGGATTCGACGACAGAGATAGTGACATCTATTATGATGTGAAAATTTTGAAACCAACTACTCATCTAGTTTTAAGCCATTTATTTATTTCTGACTGCGTTTTGGCCATTTGAAGCTGCAATCTTTCGCTCCTATTGCGTATCACTGTATATTTTTATTTTTATTTTTATTATATTTGTAAATAGTAGAGTAGTATGATGTCAGTTTTTATATTAATTGAAATTAAATTATTATTTTTTTAGATTATTCAATATCAAAATATTTTCAGCTTTCTGTCTATTACTAAATTGGTTTTTAGAACAAAATGATCCAAAACTAGCACCACCAATATAATAAAATACCTTGATTCAATAACAAAACATATTGTAACTAAACACTAATATTAAATCACAAGAGAGTTGACTTTAGTTAAACGGATTCTAATTATTTAAATAATAATTTTATGTATGTAAAAAAAATTTAAATAATTATTTTTGTTTTGTCAATTCGATAAAACAACAATGGATTAGTTTAGATTTTTAAGCTTAGGATATTTCGAAAGATAAAAAAAAATATTAAATCACAAACCACTAAAAATAATTATATCAAAAAATAACGACTACTGCAACAGTAATTTTCAGGTTTTCCTTTAATGGAGTAAAACCCCACAAGTTCTTTTTGCTAATAGCACTTTGAATTCCACAAATCCAAAATTTTCTTTTTCTTTTTTCAATTATAAGAGGTGGTTTGAACCTATCGCAATTAGAATTAAAAAAAAATGCAATTCATAAGACTCAAATTTTATTTTATTAAAAAAAAAATTCCCGAACACACATATTTTAGGTTAAAGGTATTATTGTTCATCTCTTAAATGTTAAAAGCAGCATGCATACATTTAATGATGCAAGTATTTTTTTAATTAAAAGGCATTAATTTGATTCTTTTCTTTTTTATCTCTAAAAGTACTTTGCGAAAACATGACCCAACATCTGTTTGGTCACCTTATCAAATAAATAATTTTAAATTTAAATTTTATGTATGTAAAAACTTTTTAAATAATTATTTTTGTTTTGTTTATTTGATAAAACAATGATGAATTAATTTAGATTTTTAAGTTTAGTATATCTTGGAAGATAAAAAAAGATATTAAACACAAACCACTAAAAATAATTATATCCAAAAATAACGACTAATGCAACAGTAATTTTCAGGTTTTCCTTTAATGGAGTAAAACCCCACAATTTCTTTTTGCTAATAGCACTTTGAATTCCACAAATCCAAATTTGTTTTTCTTTTTTCAATTATAAGAAGTCGTTTGAACCTAATGCAATTATAATTAAAAAAAAATGCAAGTTATAAGACTCAAATTTTATTTTATTAAAAAAAATTTACCGAACACACATGTTTTAGGTTAAAGGTATTATTGTTCATCTCTTAAATGTTAAAAGCAGCATGCATACCTTTAATTCTGCAAGTATTTTTTAATTAAAAGGCATTAATTTGATTCTTGTATTTTTTATCTGTAAAAGTACTTTGCGAAAACATGACTTTGGTCACCTTATCAAAATCGTCTCCAAGTCACTCTGAAGGCTGATGTGAAACTGTCGGTGCTAGCTCCACGTGTAAGACATTGAACCGTACGGGTACGAGCTATCCCAGTTCTGCTCCTCTATTTCTGCTAACTGGCTATTAAAAAATTAGACCGGTTGTTGCCAGTCAACTTAAGCACCGACTTGCAGTAGACCTCCCTTGTTCCCTGGCCGACATCTTGGTAAATTTACATGGAAATATTTCCCTCTCGCAACTACAACATATTTGAAAATTCAAATCTTTCCTCTTTATTTTGTCATTTCAGTTGAATTTTCTTACTCTTGATTGACTACTTTTGCTGTTGGAGATATTGATAATTCAGCTAGTTTATCTCCGCTAACTCCTCGACTTGATGACGATCTCTACCTCAAAACGAGAAACATGTCTTTCATTGTCAATTAATTTCTACACCCAGGATTTCGGTGAGGTTTTTCAAAAATGGCAGACCAAGTATATGCTAGTAGCTGCCTATAATCGTTGCTAGCACTAAACACGATATTACTGCTTTTAAAGTTGTGACTTTTGGCAAGCCCATCATGTGTCATTTCTCAACCCAATTAACACCTTGTAAGCTAGGGCAGAGCACCTTTCATGCGTTTAGATTAACCAAGGACAAACTTCTCTTAAACTTTAGCTATTTGAAACTTAGTCTGTGAATTTTTAATTTATGTTTTGATTTTTTTTTCTTTTTAGATTTAGTTTGCTCTTCAATTTTTTCTTATTTATTATAAAAAAAACCATTACATAGATAATTTTATGATAAAACAATTATATGAGATTTATCCGAAATTCTCTAAAAATTTAGAATTATTTCGTGTTATTTTTTTATGTTAAAAAATTAAATAAATATTTTTTTATTTTGAAATTTTTCTAAAAAATAGATTAAATTTTTTTCAATGTGCATGAAAAATTTCAAATCTAAATATCAAATATTGATTTTTTTTTAAAAAAAAGATGATCGCTAAAAATTATAAAATACACTAAATCTTAAAAATTTAAAAATTAATTTTAAATAAACTAAAATGCAAAGGAGGTTTGGGCTTTTTATTAGCCATATGTTTACTCAAAACACGACTGTATACATGGATAAAGAATTAATATGCATATGTATCAAGTACAAAATGTTGTAATTTTTTGAGCCAATTTCGGTGATCATCCACAGACAACCCATATATTGTAATAATATAAAACGTTATTGAGCATCATCCTAAAATGAAATGGAATGAAAACTCCATGTAAAGAAGGTGAATATATCATAAAACAAATCACAAATCAGACAGAAGAAATGAATGCCCCCACATCATATTCCATCCAATCCGAGAGATTTCGTGTTCAGAATTGTTGTCACACCAAGAATCACTGAAATAAAATTATTACGAGGAGCGGCCAGCTCGCAATTGAAACGGCAATCCTTGGTTTTCGAAAAATTTAGCAATTTTTTAAGTTATCCCTGAAAAAAAAAAAAAAGCCACTGTGATTATGTAATTGCAATTTTATTCATCAGAAACCATTCAATTAATATTTCTTTAAAGAAACCTTTAGCTGATAATGGACATGCAATATATATATATATTTTTTAAACCAATCAATTAATATTTTTTTAAAGAAAACTTTAGCTAACAATCGACATGCATGCAATATATATATATATATATATATATATCGAGACTATATATAATTTGAATTTTTTTATTGAAATTTTAAATTTTTTCTGTCTAATTTAAGAATTCTATTCTTATATTGTTATTGTTTCACAATCGTAATTAATGACATTAGGGTCCGAAACAACAATATGAGTAAAATTCTTAAATTGAATAAAAAAAATTTTAAGATCTCAACAAAAAAACTTCAAATTATATATATAAACTTTTATTTTTCTTGACAAGGAACCTTTAAGTGCTTAGTAATCAAGTAAACAAATAATCATGCAACTAGCTGGGCATAATTAACAAATATCACTTAGAATAGGAATCAAACCAGCTGTGAGGTTTTTGTTTTTTTTTCCTTCCTGTGCGGTGAGGCGAGGCTTCAATGAGCGACTTCACTAGATTTCACTTCCACTACTTCATCGATTTGACTTATAGTTCAGGGACTTCATTAGATTCACTTCCAAACCCTTGTCGGTTTCACTATTATGCTATAGTTCAGATGCCATGTAGGAAGTATGGTCTATTTTTAATTTTTTTAGATTTAAACCTAATATTTATTAATTTTCTTCAAATGTCCTAGATTGATATGGAAAATATGCCTTTAAAATCATGAGATTTGGTTTTAATTAACACGTGATAACCTAAAAAAGATCCTTACCATCAAACCAAAAAGATAAACTTATTTTAAAATATAAAAAAGATGTATTTTATTCTAAACCCCCTATTTGAATATTTTTCTTTTTTGTAACTTGTTAATCCGAAGGAGCTAAATAACGAATGCATTCACTTATCAAATTGATTTTTCTTAGAATTTCCTCATCTTTTCTAACCAGTATTTCTGCACCCAAAGGTCCAAAACTTGGGATGCAATTCCTTCTATCAAGTGCATGAACCGGCTGGGCAGCTGGCAATTTGGCCTACACGAATGATTTGTTATGTCCAAGCTCCTACGAATTAATACTTACAGGTATACCAGATCTATTATTGATGGTTGTTACACCATCTACATTTACTGGAGATACAAATTAATTAATTGTTATATACATCTCATAGATCTAGACCCAAACCAAGAACGAGTGTAGATCATAAGATTTTTCTTTAGATATTCTTACTCATAAATTATTCATCATAAATCTGCTCGTGCATTGATGTTTTGATTGCGCAGTCAAATACACCCTTAACTTCATGTGGTCCGGGAGAAGTTTTATGGCTTTTTTTTTTTTTTTTCCCTCAATTGATACAGTTTACAAGTCGGTGGGTGCACACGATATCTTTGTTCTAATAACAAATTTCAAAAAAGCTCAACATGTTCCATTAAATTCATACAGTATTCAGAATCCAAAAAACAACAACTGACGGTTGCCTGAAATCAATGTTGCCAATAGCATTCTCCAACGAAACCCAAACGCGATGAAAGGAGTTTAAGAGACTCTTATACCTAATGGCATAACGGTAAATTTTATTCTCATTCTATGATGATTTGATAATTTTAAATCTATAATATCAAATTATATAATTTGAATATCAAATTATTGAATACTGGACAAATATGATCTAAATTGCTTAATTTTTAGTATGTGTAATGATCAACTGGATTGATCATTACTTGGAATGCCAAATCGAACGTTTTACCATTCCACTCGTTATTTATGTTTTTTAAAAAATATTTTTAATCTCCCTAATCTTCAATTATTTTTTTTAAAAAAAATTTCTTATAAAATAATATAAACATTTTATAAATATTTTAACCCCTAATTTTGAACTTTTTTTTAATAAAATGTTATTGTCAAAAAACACAATTAATAACACACAATTTCGGACCTTAAAAATAAAATTTTATAAATTAAAATGAAAATAATTAAGGTTTGACTCTCCTAATTTGATAAATTATATAATAAAGATTATAAAATGTTTATAGTATTTTAAAAAAATTTAAAAAGTTCAAACTTAGAGGGGTTAAAAATATTTATAGTTTTTTATATATAATTTATAAAATATTTATAATATTTTATATAATTTTTTTAAAAAAGTTCAAAATTAAGAAGTTAAAAAGATTTTGAAAATGTTAGAAAAACATAATTAAATCGTTTTGACATTTCAAATAACGGTTAACTAGTTAACTAGATTAACCATTACACATAATAAAAATTGAATAATTTAGGCCACATTTACCCGATATCCAATCCTTCAGTATTTAAATTATAGGATTTGATATTATAAACTCAAAATTATCAAATCGTAGTAAAATAGATAAATAATTTGTCATTAAACTTATGGGTGACCAACCAAACAATTGAATCATTACTACACACATTAAAGCCAGAGCCCTCGTGAATAATAAAGGACTGGACACCTCGCTGTTGCAAATTGGTATTGACATATAGAAGTAAGTGTTTTATTTTATAGCATTTTCTACAACTTAAGACACTTATGAATGCAGCTGTTGCAGGCACTGTCATACTAATAGGTTATTGTGGTGGAAAAGGGTAAACGCTTTTAGCTGTCAGAAGTCCAAGAACAAGTTATTTACAGTAGAATATGTAGTCAAAAAATTATTGGCTGACAGGCCTAACCATCCTTAAATTTTAAGTTATTTGGGATTGAATTTTTAAATTTTTTAAAAAATAATAACAATAAAAGTCAGACCCAAGCCTAAAATTATTTAAAGGTCTTAAAAGATGTAACAATAATATGAATAATATTATTCTTACATAATTGTTCTACGTATTTCACTTATTAAAAAATATTAATTATTTATAAGTAAATTTGGAAGATAATTATATAAAAATAGTATTACTTCAAAAATATAAAAATACCTGAAAATTTGTACATGAAAAACCCATTACCTAGATGCGGGGACCAAATTGGAAGCTATTATAATTAGGTGACTAAAATCGATTTGCGCACATCCTTCTCATTTTTCCAATAAATATATGCAAGCCAATAATTCATTTGAGGATGAGGAGTGCTAGTAATATTTTTTTCTAACATTTTCTTTTATATACTTGCTCAATAAAAATATTTATATCAAATAATAACAAACAAAAAATAATTTATACCTCATGTTCTCAAGAAGTTTTTAAATTATAATCAATCTCATATTATGTGAAAAAAAAAAATAGACATTTTTATTGAGCACATGTTTAAATGTTTTCCAGCACCACTATTTGAGGATTCAATTTGATAGCTTTAGAATTCTTTCAATAACACAGGAAAAGAAAATTCAACGTTTTAAAGTAAATTAATTACAAATAAAAGATTATTATTGATAAGAGAATCTAACTAGGCTCTGATAATGATTTGAAACATCTGTCCATAAATAAAAGACCTTGATGCATGGATTGAGAAGAAAAGTCAAAAAAAAAAACTAATGCTACTTAAATTTCTACGTCAATCGTCAAATTACAGCCAAAAAAAAAAAAAAAAAAAACAAAGAAGAACCCACAAAAATTTTAAATGCAGTTACTAGAGTTACATCCCACTTAATTAGCAAATAAATCTACCGACAAATACATTAACATTAATTAGTTGGATGGGGTTTTGAATCCTAAAATCAGTTTTTTGTAAAGAAACATATACCGATAATTGATGCATTGACCTCTGGCTCCCATCCATCAATAACATGTTCCTTAGTAGCCTTAGTCTTCTCGAAAGATTTATGAGGATCGACAACTGCAAAAGGAAGAGCAGATAAATTTTTTTGAACTAATTTCGAACTTCAACGATTAAAGGGGATTTGGGTTCTATATTCCTATTGATCTAAATCATAATAGCAACATAACAAAAATTCAGATATCAAATATTTTCATTCAAATCTCATCACCAATTCAGTCAACCAAGAGAATCAACTGTGATTTCTCCATTAACAAATTTCAAAAGATAGCAAAAAAAAAAAAAAAAAATCAGCCACGACACATGTAGTAAATTTTAAAGTAGGAGAGGTCAGATAGCTTGTGGAAATAGACCAAGAGATGGTTAAACTACAGAAAGGGGAAAAGTTCAGAAGAGAGTTTAAGAGACAAACGGAAAAGTAATTGCGAAAAAAAAAAAAGGTAGAAAATAGAGGATAGGCTTAAAAAAGAGATATTCATTGCCTTGAATATTGGCTTATCAAACCAATAAATTTTTTCTAGAGATTGTAAGTAAAGGTGAACACGATTAAGTTAAAACGAAAAATCAAACCGAATTCAAATATTAATTTCGATTCCGTTATAAATTTTTTTAAAAAAAGTCAAAGTAAAATATTAAAATTATTTTGATTGGATTCGTTTTTGTTTTTAAATCCATTTAAACCGAAGATCTATTTAAAAAAATAGAAAAATTAAAACTAAGAAACCCTCACTTTCCCTACCCTAACACTAACACATTGCCTTGTCTCTTCCATTTCAGTTTCCACTCTCAGCGCTGCACCCCCACCCACCCTTTACCTCAGTTAGCACTGCCATCTCAACTCGTCTAGACTCTCGTTTTCTCTTCCCTTCCTCATCACCACCCACCTCTTCATCCTCCTCCTACTAGGCTACTTCTATTTTTTCTCCTCACCAGTCACCAACCTTAGTCCACTGTTAATTTTTCGATTGTGGAATTGGGTTTATTTTTAAACGCATGCACTTCTAAATTCTATGTTCATGTTCTGCTATTTGTTGTTTTGACATATCTTGGTTGTATCAATAAAGATGCGGTTTATGTTTTTCAATACATGAAGATCACAACATCATAAAATACCAAACCCTACATTAGAACATAAGAGTAATCCAATTTTATTTTATTTTAAATTGATCAATGTATTGAGCTGATGTGCATTAATGGATTATGTTGCTGATATTGTTAATGGCTACATGAGCTTCTAAGCCTTCTGATCAAGCTTAGTTAATAGGGCTAATTCTAGAAGGATCCAAATTTACCAATCGAGGCAAGGAGAGGAATCCAAGTTTTCTTTTTAAGCTACAAGATATATATGTGTGTGTGTTAAACACTTGCATGCTGAAAAAATAAATAAATAAATAAATCTCAAAATGTCATAGTACAAGTGAAAGTCAAAGTTCACATCGTCTGATTTTAGTTAGACGGTTGTGATTGCATTTACTGACATAGATACTTAGTTAGACTGACTATAAACTATTACAGTAAGATCGATTAAATAATATTGGTTAAATTTGATAGAGATACTCTAGGGACTAAATTTCTGGACACTTGAGTTTTGATTTAGTTAACTGCATGCATAGCAATTTGTAATCTTAATTGACCAACTGTATACATACTTGGAGTGCGTATTTGAAGGGTCCATGTATAAACTTCTCTAGGAGCATGGCAGATTAGGTAAGCTAGTTATCTGTAGCTTTACCCAGCAAATCTTGTCAGAACTTGTGTTTTTGCATTCTAAAAGCATTGTTCACTGGTAAGGGGACCTGTTGCTGAACAATAACAATTTGCATATACTAATAAATTTTTAAGGAATTGTATCATAGCCATATCTTTAGCGGAAACTGTTTCTCAAGTTTATGTTTTAATAATGTCATAGCATTCTTATTTTTTCTTTTGGGATTTTCTAATGTTCTTAAGCTTTATATAGCGACTGAAAACCACTCGTTAAACAATTAGAAACTGCTGCATAACACATAATGCAACAAGTTTATCAATCGTTACATCCGATCGATGCTGCAATGGATTAATGTAGCAATTTTTGTGTATAATAGCAACGTAAAAATTTTCATCGCATCATATCTTCAAAATGCAACGATTTCTTTATTATTTTAGATAACGGTGTTGGATACCATATATAATTGGTTTAAGTCAAAGCTTATGCAACGGTTTTTATATTATAAGCAATAATTTTAGAGTTATTTCATCCAACAATTTCCATCAAATAAGGCAATAGTTTATCTAATATATTATGCAATGATTTGTGAATCATTTGTAGCAGTTTTTCTATTGTATTAGGCAACTGTTGGTTTGTTCTAATACAACTATTTGTGAATCATTTGCAATAGTTTCTCTATTGTATTAGGCAATGGTTGATTTGTTTTAATGCAACAGTTTTTTCATATGTAAGCTTTTGTGAAATCTAAATGCAAAGATTTATAAAGTGTTTAATACAATAGTTTGCAATATTATTGTAATAGATTTTTGTCTAATTATAATATTTTTGCAACAAATTTTTAGCCAATTACGACGATCATCACGCATGCTATTTGTAATAATTTCTTTAAAGATAATTCCAAATATTAATCAATTACAAAAAAAGTAATAATCCAATCAGTTTCTTAACACAATTCCAAACATTAATTAATATATTACGAGAAAAGTAATAATCCAAACATATAAAAAACATTAAAAAGTACAATAAAAGATCAATTTTGAAAAAAGATTCAAATTTTGTACTAAGCAAATTCAGTAGACAAAAGTTCAAAGTTCAAAAAGCATAACACAATAATAAAATGTCAATCCTTTAGTTGACCTCTAAATTCCAATAGTTCATAACATTAGGCAACCTGTAATTTTATAAAAAAAGCCGACACTCGAAGTACGCTAATTACAATGAAATGCGGCCATTATAGCCTCTTGAAAAGCAAAAGAAATAACTGAACTTGTATTTTTATCAAATAACATATATAAAAATTAGTAGTACCTAAGGATTATAGGTGCGATGAATGTGAATTTTTTATATGATTTTCTATATTAACTCGTGCCCAAGATTATTGAACGAAAAGAACAAGGGATAGAGTCTTCAACACCGTCAAATTCATTGCATCACATAGGTTAATATTGGTCAAGTGGCTGAACATGCATCATTCTGCAAGGTTCTAGTTATCAAGAAAAATTGAAGTCAAATTCCCTAACCTATGTCACCCATCAAAGTCATTACCTTCTTAAAGACCCAAACAAGTTGAAATGAACTATTTGAGGATAAGCATAAAATAAAATTAAGGAACAGAGACCCTTGAATCTAAAGTTTACCATATACATAAGTAGATAAACAAAATGTATCATCCTGAGGTATTAGCATTTCAGAAAGAAGATGATTCATTTCAGTTCCATCTGATCCGGCATTATGCAAGGCCAGGAAACAGGCTTTGGTCCGAAAAGCAGCGACTTTCCTTCTTGCATAGAAAAGAAAATAACACAATATGGCAGAAGCAAAGAATAAGAGATTTGGACACTTACAACTGAAACTGTTTTAAAACTATCTTTTATTTCACAGCTCAAGACAACAACCAAATTAATTCCAAAATTAAGCTCCATTTGGATAATGGTGTTAGAATTTAGAAAGTTACTGCAATAAGTCATGGCTTGAAGGCCAGGTCAACTGGTGTAGGCAAAGTTCCAGGATGATAGTGACCCAAACTCGAGCAAAGTGGAGCATTAAGCATGAATATAATAATGAAAGTACTGGTTCTGGTAGTGCAACCCCTCTTCATGGTATAGTGGTTCAAAATATATTCAGATCTTTTGAAACTTTTATAAGACTTAGAAATATTGGTTAACCTCAAACTTACGCAGTTTGCGTTGATTATTTCTTAAATTGAAGTGAAGTGCAAAGTACAAGTCTTAATACAGAAAAACAGAGAAATTTAAAAGTTGCAATAGCATATATATAGAATAAAATTGCACGCAAGCCTTATGGAGGGTTTGGTAACGTGGTTGCTAGTTCTTATCCAAAATGTTTTTCAGTTTTTTAGGTGCTTTTCGATGGTTTTGACATGAGACCATGAGCCAGCCATTTCAAATGCTGCATAGGCATCAAGAGGCTACCAACATATAAGGACACATGCAAAGCAATGCTATTACAGATAACCAACAAATCCATCAAACAAAAACAATAGCTCAAAGAGATCAGATAATGGGAGATGGCAGTTATCAAATTCTTCCCTGCTTCCCCCATCTCCCAGACACAAGAGCAGGGAAATTTGAGTTGATTGATACCTACAAAGGCAGTCATGTACATATGGTTTTCAGATGATTGGCATTGTTCATGTTTAATTAGTGCAATAAACCTCCGAAACAACTTGTTCTTTATTAATTAGTTGCTTTCAATCCATCTTATGATCCATTGTGAATTTAACGTTTAAGTAAACCAAATTGTGAACTCCAACATTTTTACTACCTGAGAAAATCATTTGGAATGAATGCTTGGTCTGGATTAATCGATTCATATATATTCACATTAGCATGGCAAAAAAGTTGATGAATCCCATTGTGGCTGAGGTAGTGATTGCTTTGTTGGGTTGGGTGGAGCTCTCATTAATTCATCATTCCATAGAGTGTACTGTTAAATACACTGCTAATCTCAAGATTCATATTTAGGTGTATAATTTACATATTTATCATTACCTTCAATCTACAAACAGTAAAGATGATATATAAATGGAAAGGAATTCTAACCTTAAGTAAATGAAACACACTATGAAGGGTAGTTGAACTCAATTCATCAGAGAAACTATGGCTCTATGCTAAAAAGGATTAAGAGGATACCTGAGGAAGCTCAATGTCATAATGGAAAAGGAAGATCATAGGCATTTCGTAAGATATCCAAGAGTGAACCATCCAGAGTCTGCATACAAGCCCAAATTAACGTGAGAGGAATATTAATCAAGTCAAAGTTATTTGCAAGATGCCACAAATTTGGTATCAAACTCAACTCAAGGAGTTGAAACACACTCTGGGAAGTTTGGAGACTCACTGAAATTTTCGATACGGTACACAAACAAGTAGTGATTGTAAATCAAGAACTCAATCGTTGACTTATTACGATTAGTTATGCAAATTCTGAGCATAAAGACAGCCATGTAGCGAATTCAAAGCACAAAGAGAACAAAAAATTATTGTGAAGAAGGCTAGTGCTTCCAAGGAAATGATTTAATACCCATTGGTTAAACGAGAACCACTTGTGACTCCAAACTTATCAAACACATGACAAGCCATAAGCCCACCGCCCATGAAGATTTTCTTTTCAATAAGGACATTAATTCCTTCAGTAGCCCCTGAGTTGCACTTAATAGATGCAAACCCCAGTTTCTGTTACATGTACAAATTGCATAGCAAGACAATGAACCCGAAAAAATGTCAAGAGAATTCATCCAAGTACTGTATACAAGCATTCTATATTCTAAAGATAGGTTGAAAATGAACTAATCTTGACACACACACCTACATAAAAACACCCAAATTAAAACCAACAAAGAGAAAAGGGATTGTATCTCATTCTTGTATTGTTGAGAGGTTTGATAATATCTCGATTGAATAATGTCCTTCACAAGAAACAAAGTTTATTACAACAATTTTGAACTGTTATAGAATCGTTATCATATATTAATATTAGCAACGAATTTAAAATCGTTGCTACCAAACCATTGTCTAATATTCAATTTGTAGTAATGTCTGCACTAAAATAGATATGCATTATTTTCAAAATAATTTCATCATTTGGAGTTTGTCGTGTCCAAGTCAGTTTGTATACGTGGTATATACCTAATAATAATAATATCTTATGGAGTAACATGCTTTTCAGTGCTGTTTTATTAAATTATAAATCTTCTGCATGTGGTACATGATTTGTTTCTTTCTCCATTTCTAGGTCTGAAAAGAATGAAATCAAGATATATGTAATTTCATTACCATCAATTTAAATAATTTATCATTAGTTTTTTTACTCGTATTATCCTACGGGTTAGATAAAATATATGAAATCATTTAAGTTTGATAATCTTTATTATGGTGTGAATCTATAAAAATATATGAAATCAAAGATAAAAAAAATTATTTATAATTTTTTAATCAAAATTTTGTATTTAACTATTTCTTATTTGTTTTTTTCATAATTTCCTCTTTGGAAAAAAGATTTATTCTTGTTAATTCATGGATTATTAACTAAAAAGAAAATTAAATAAAATTAGAAAAATTTTTTAGTATTTCATAAAATTATGTCAACAAACTAAAATAACAATTAATAAAAACTTACATAGAATTGAGAAAAAATTTATTAAATATTGATGAAAATATCGATTTTTGAAAGAATATAAATAAATTTAATTTTTGTATATTTAAGATTGAGTAACATTAAAATAAAAAGCTATATTAATTTGAATCATTGAGTGGTTAAGCCATAACATAATTTTAATTACTTAATATAAAATTAATAAATTTTAAAATATTCAAAATTAGATAAATAGTAAATGCTTAGTGTAATAGTAGTTGCATAGTTAATTTCTAAAAAAAAAAAATAACGATTCAATATTTTTTTATACATCATAACTATATTAAGTGGATTAAGAATTTTAAGTATAAAACAAAAAACAATATATATATATATATAAAAAAAAAAAGTTAACTTGCAAGTAATATATTTACTAAATTTGAATTTAATTGACTAAAATAAAAATTATTTCAAATTTGATTTTGATAAATTTTGATTATATAAAAAAGAAACAAATAAAATACGTGAATTCTTTTTCTTTTTTTTCCTCCTTAAATAATTGTTTATTTCTATGCTATACATGGCTAGTCCTTGAATACATGCCTTATATGTAGAGCAACCATCTTCTTTTTGTTTTTTCACACTTGACTTTCAATTATTAATTAACTAATTTGAGTTTTTTTTTCCTAAAAAAATGAGAAAAAATGATTTAAAATACACTTTTAATCTAAAAATGTATTTCGAAAAAATATATATATATATATATATATATATATATATATATATATATATATATATATATATATATATATATATATATATTTACTACTATAATTTAAAAATTATCTAAATCTATTTTTCAAAAGAAAAAATAATCATGTTCAAAAACTTTATTCCAAAATACATACATATAGAAAATAAATCAAAACTATCAAGTAAATATAATTTTAAATTATTTGGATGAGAATTTTAAAAAAAGAGACAAATTAAAAGTATTAAATTTTAAATAATAAAAGTAATTAATAAAAAATACTAAAACAAAATAGGACCAAATCACAATACAATTAAAGTTTAAAATCGAAAAAATATATATATAGAAAAACCGACGACCAAAGTATTACAAAAATATTATGAACAGTGAAATGAATATTGATTTGTGAGTACGTGAATAATGATTTATAAGTATATAAATAATGTTATGAATAGTAAAAATTCATTTTGTTTTAGTGTTTTTTATTATAATATTTTGGATTAATTAACTTTAACATGTTAAAAATCCCTTATTAATCTTTCCAATCTAATAAAAAAAAGCCATTCGTGTTGAAATTAAAAAATTCATAACAATATTTCTATTTCTCAAGAGGCTGAGCCTGATCTATCTGTGATAATTATTTTGATTATTAAACTGACATTAGCTAGATACCAGCTAAAAGTAGCCGACGACTGTTTAAGAGAAGGTGTCATTTTGAGAGAGAGGATAGATTTATTTACTAATAAGTCATGTCATAATTGGGCAATGTTATTGCGATAATGACAAATCCATCGATTTCTCTGCTACCAAAAATGCTTCATTAACCATTAGATAATCAAGTAATACAGCTTGAGAGACAATTAGATGCCCACTTTTTCTTTACCTTGGACTGTGAAAGTTACTTTTATATAAGAGCATTTTTCATTTCATAGTAGAAACGTTGTTGAATCGGCCGATTTGTTAACCATTAAAATTGGAGGGGTTATATGACAATTTTTAGAACTTTATTAGTGATATATGAAAAAGAAAAAAAAATTGTAAAAAATTACAAAAATACCAAATGATGAACAATGAATTAAGACAAATGAACAATAAATGAATAGTGTTTTATTATTCATTTACTTCTGATCTTTTAGTTATATAGAATGGGATATCTTGATATATTATTTTTTTTTCAAACTTGAATATTTTGATAGATTATTTGGTTTAATAGATTTTTTTTTAATAGAGAATTCTAGGATTTAAAAGTTAATGGTTATTTTAATAGATGCTTGATGCATTTTTATTATGGATGCTAAATGAATTGTTTTTTTTTTTTTGTTTTTATTATGGATTTTGGATTGAAATTTTTTTTATGAATTGTATTTTTATTATAGATACTAAAAAGCCAAAAAATGATAACATGTTAGGAGATGATCTTAAAAATAAATAAATAAATAAAAAATTGGACTTTTGAAAATTAAGGCCTTATAGTACCATCAGAATTTAAAAAAATATAAAAAAACAAAAAAAAATCAGTTTAAACTAAAAAAGGCAAAAAATCGAATGCGGTTTTGATTCTATTTTTGTATTTGATGGTTTGATTAATCAAAACTGAAACAAAAGTACTTGAAATCGAACCAAAAAACCATTTGGTCATTCTTCATCACAGGGAGATCAATGTAAGTAACAATAGTTGTGGGACTTAGTAGCTTACGTGGGAGACATTCTTTTTTTATATATTCTTTTTTTTTCTCTTGATACTATTATGTTCAAAATTTTAAATGATGTAATTTAAAAAAAATAAAAATTATTTTATTTTATGAAAAAATGTCTAAATACAGTATTAAAGCATATAAATAAAAAACACTGATATAACATTATTATTAATAAATTTTTTAAAAATTTATATAATTTTATTTTTTTTAAATATCATCTTTTTAAAACAGATAGAATAGTATTCATACATGCTAGCTTAATCAGCAGTATGATGGAGGAACGTTTTTTTATTTGTACTCTTCTGTTGTTCTACATGTTAATGAAACAATTTTATGGGTTTCGTTAAAAATAAAAATAATAATAAGTGAATCCTAATAAATGTATTTGGGAGACGAAGAGGTGGCTCGGGAGGGGAGATCCTCCTGATCTTAGTTGGGTTCCTGGGATTGTTGAAGGAGAAGGAGAAGGAAGGAAGGCGAGAGAGATAAACGACAGGATGTGTTTGACCCAGAGAGAATTGGGGAAAAATGGGAATTGCGTTAGAAAGTTAGGCAATGGCCTGGGCTGATCTCAGCCCAACCCAGACACATAAAAAGAAACGGAGGAAGAAGAGGAGAGGCTAGCCTGCCTAGTAGGCCAGCCGAGTGAGCCTGGCCCAACTAGTCGAGGGCCCACTGACCACAAAAGGCCCAATGCCTTAATTTCAGTTTTTTTTTTAAAGATAAATTTACCTTGAATGTTTTTTATTTATGCATTTTTATTTTCTGCTTAATTTAGATTTAATGCCTTGGGATTTCCTTGAATCTATTTAGTTAATGTCTAATTTTAGAATTTATTTCGATAGTTAATAGGTTGATGGATTATCGAGTGTCCTAATTTTTAGGAACCGATGATGATTTCTCACCAACAACAACAAAAAAAAAGGGGGAGAAAATGAACAAAAGAATATATATATATATAAGGAAAAATACAAAGAAGAGGAAGAAGAATAGGAGGAAACGCTAGGAAAAATAAAATAAAATAATAGAGAATGTTAAGAAAAATAACAAAATCTTCTATCTAACACCGATCGTTGTTAGCACAAAAAAAAAAAATCACTTCAATAAAAAAAGTGTTCATCGATGTATCGGTTATGTCGGGACTTAAAGAAGATCTAATATTGAACTAATATGTCTCATGACAAAAAGATCCGACGATTAGTTCAATACGATGCTATAAATAAAAATAAAAAAACTTAATTTGGCTCGGGATATAAAAAAAATTAGAGTTTAAATCGGACATAATTTGACACAAATAAAACATCTTAGAAAATAAATTTTAGAACTAAACTAGAAATGATACATTTCTTAAGAAATTATATTTTTTAATGATCGATATCTTTTTTAAAACATAACTAATTTTTTATCTTATAATCTTTGAAGCGAGTGCTATGTTAAATTTTTGAAAGTACTGTGAAAGTCGAGTAGCAACAAATCTATTCATATATTTTTTTTCCCGTAATTATGACAATTATAAACAATTAAGTGCAATAACAACTCAATGAGTATTTAGTTATTTGAGAGAAGAGATATGTTATTTACATTTTAACAAACCGATATAAATGATTACAAAATGATTCTTACACCTTTTTGTTACAACTCACTGAAAAAAATCGGGGAAGTTTATCGCATGACTTTACAACTTCATGAATGGATCCTGATACGTAGTAAACCCTATATAATGATATAGAAGGAATCGTAGTGTCTTAAATTAATCATAATAGTACCTACAACTTAATAGCAAACCAACTCACCCTCTCTCTCTCTCAACCAACAGCTCATAAGGCAAACCAATCGCAACTAAAACTTAAATCTGGATCTAATTTTCTTTTATTTAAACGTAAATTTAGATTTAGGTTTGGATGTATCTATTTCTGTTTGTTTTTGATTTGTTGCTTCATTTTAAATAAATATTTAGAAAAGATTAATTAGACGATTTACGACTCTTTCAACCTAGTTCCATATTGATCGAGTTCAGAGATTCCCTATTAATAAAAAAAATTATAATTTTTGATATTTATAATAATACTTGATAAATAAATATATAAAAAAATATTAACTTCACATAAATGTTGAATTTTACCAAAAGTTTCTTAGTTAAATATAAATAATCAAAACATAAATCCAACAAAAGTTTATTTTAAAAACCAATCATTCAATAAATATACACGAACAAAGATTTAAAAAATATACAGATATATATAATCAGATTCAAATTTTCTACAGAGTAGAAAATACCGTTTTCTACTTCCATTCCCATTTATTTCCTGGAGGAAAAATACTTCTCGTATTTGTCCACATCAAATCGGTTTTTGCCGAATATCCATGGAGACAGCTAATTTTACCATCCCTATTTACCATGTCTCGAACTTACCTGTGTGCACATGATGCAACATTTTCCTTGACAACCAACTACGAATAGCAGCAATTTATTTGTTCTTTGTTTGGTATAAATGAAAATTATTGTTTTCCTCGTGAAAAAGAAAAGAAAAAAAACTGATCACGATCTAAAACTTAATTTAAATTATTCACTTACCTTGAACTTTCATAATTATTCACTTCCTTAGGTTTACATTGATTAATTAACCAATGGAATAATACATGTGGCAACATCAGATTCACACACAATCATTGAAAAGAAAACTTAAAATTAAACTTTTATAACGAACTTAAATTGATTGTCACTAAATCATGAAAAGAAAAACTTGTTATTTTATTAAATAAAAAAATCCAGACATAAATACATTAATAGAAGAAATTAAAATCGATTAAATATTTACCTCATATTAATAATTTATTATCTAGTTCATCCACGATAAACTTAATATATAAGAGTCGAAAGTAAGTGATAAAATAAACTGAATATGAAAAAATTGAATTATATATATATATATATCCGAGATATCAAAACATTAAAAAGAAAAAATGAATATAAAGGGGAGTCAAGAATTTTCAACAAAGAAAACGAAGAACTAACCATCTCTCTCAAACTTGCTCTTATCTTTTTATTTATGTTTTATTATATTTTTCCTTCAAGATATGGACGTGATTAACTTTAATTTAATTTTCTTTTTGGAGAAGTTTTAATAGATCCATGGTGGAATTCTTGACATTAGGACTAATCGAAAAAAATGATGAAAGTTTAGGACAGTATTTTAAAAAAAATTTTAGTTCAGGGAGTAATTTAGTTTAGACCAAACGTTCAGGGTCTTTTATGATTTTTCCAAAAAGATAATATTATTTTGGTACAAAGTACAAAAGTTTCCAGCGTCCAATTCAGGCGACTAGAGGAAGAAAAACCATTTTCTCCTCGCTTTCTCTGGCACGCTCGATTTCTCGCCAGGTTTAAAATTCATGGCGGCGTCGGCAGAGATTAGCGACGGAGATCACGATGCGGTGGAGCTGATTGTGTGCGACGTTTCAGCATCAGCACAGGCACCCGATGAAATCAGCGGCGATGGTGCCGTTTCAGCCTCAGAGGAGATAACTCCTCTGTTGAAGCCTAAGATCAATATCTTCTCCGTGTCTCACTCTCGCAGAAAACCTAGAGTATTTTTCACTCTCTCTTTCTTTTGTTTCCCATTATTGCTTTAAATTTGTAGCCGTTGTTAATTGGTTAGCTTAGTTTGAAAATTTTTAATGAGTAACTTCTTGGAGATTTTTTGACATATGATTTCAATTTTTGATGTATTAGGATGATTTAAGTGGGAGTTATACTAAATGTTGGAGATGTTTGTTGTTTATTTTTGACAGAAACTTTCAAACTTTGCTGTTTCAGAATCTAATCGTCATCCATTTAGAAAAAAGAGTTGTTTTGTTTCTATACTTTCCCCTTAATTGAATGACGGCTAGTACAAGAAATTAGTTGAGTAATACCAGCCTTGTTGCTCATAAAAGAAAAAGGAAAAAGAACGAAAGAAACTTAAGCCGATACTATCAACAGAAGCAGCAGGAAATGAATTGGGGAATTAGTGATGTTTGTTATGGCTGAAGATGGTATAAGAGTGTTTGTGTGTGTGTGTGGGGGGGGGGGGGGGGGGGTGGGTGGGTGGGTGGGAGGGGGGTTTGTTATAGTGGACAGATATCATCCGTTATTGATTAACGATTGAGCCCTTTTTTGTGCAAATAGTAGACAAAAGTTGTGTGGTAAAAGTGATTTTGAACAAATTGGAGTTATTGATCATCTGTTTTGAGAGGCACTTTTTGTTAGCATTTGACGTATGAATGCAAGGGGGAAAAAATAGAAAAGTGAATAATGGTTATTTTTGTATTTCTTTGCAGGAGCAAGGGACAAAGTTAGCTGAAACAGAGACATTTCCAGTAACGCAGTTTGTTTTGTGGATATGGGGTGGATCGAGATATTCTGGTCTATCATGCGTGGCTGTATCATCAATCATCTACTTTGTCATGGAAATGCTTTCTGATTTTTTCTCTGGTTAGTAAGTTATGTATCCTTTTATGATTGAACACGAGCCTCTGTTCTAAGATATACTACAAACATTTTTAATGTAATTCAATTTTAGATAGAGTAAAAAATTAGTGACGAAGTAGAGAATTATTAGACAAAATGGAAGGAGAATAGTTTTTCAGTAATTGTACATCAGTTTGTGTATCATATATGATATGGAGCTTATGTATGCACAGTTGAGCCAAATATCTCGGGCTTGTCTTGTACTATTTCTTAAAACCATTTGCTGGAAAGCATTGAACTCATCTCTTACATAAAACAAGTTTTAGCAGCATTTTTTCACAAGAATTTCCATATGACATGTAAGATTGACCCTCCATTCTCAGAGACATGCTTCCAAATCCATTGTACACAAAAAAAAAAAAAAAAAAAAAGTATTGAAGAAAATCTCTCTGTTTTTTTCTATTTTCCTTTTATGGTTAGATCTGGTTTGTATTCAGATTTCGTGTTTGTATAAAATTTTAAGGATTTATCTATAAAGAGAACATGTACTTTCGAAAGTGGCACCTACTTCATTATATAAATTGTAAATATGAATTTTGTAGGGGAAATAACAGCTAATGGGTGGTGGTCTTGATTCCTTAAAAATGATAGAACTTCTAATGATATATAGTTTTTCTCAACTATTGTTGATACATTGATCTACACTGACTTGTTAGTTCAACAAATGAAACTAAATGAGAGTTGTGTTTTAGATCTGAAATATGTTTATTTAGTTTTATTGTTCTAACAGTTGGAATATTAGATTTATTTCAAGTTGATCCCTTTTTTTTTTTTGGCTCACATAATGTTCAAAGGCTTAAGAATATATGATTGCAGTAAATTAGTTATTTGTGCCTTGCCTGGGGATACACATTTCTTTTTCTTTGTAACAATGTGGTAGCTAGTTTGATTCTTATAACTGGATGCTGAGCTATCATGTCATATCCATGAGGGGTGATGCCAACACTGCATGTGGGATGTGAGATTATGGGATAAAACACCTGTTGGAAGAGTTCTTTAGTGTTGCATGAGTTTGGAAAGAAATTATAAGCTCTTCTAAACTTTCTGGCATTCAGCAAAACCACAGATAGCATATTGGCACAGAACTGGGATCAACTTTGACATTGGACTTAATTTAATTGTGGTGTGTATATAAGTACATTCAATATGAACATTGTGTTTTGTGATAATTTCTATATTTGAATTTTCACATATGTGATTTCTTGCGACTCCTTGGTCAAATTTTGGGGCAGGTTGGAGGAATGGAAGTTCTGTGGTTATTAAAGCTTTTCAATTTGAGAATACCATCAATACGGAAATTTATTAAGCTAGCCATAATTTTTATTCAAGTTTTAATGTTTCTCTTCATTATTATAAATTGTAATGGCAGCTCAGCCAATTCCTTTGTTTGAGACTGCATTTACAAGGTGTACAATAACCCTGATATTGTCATATCTGTGGTTGAGAAGAAATGGACAGCCAATATTTGGACCAGCACATGCTAGGAAACATATGTTTTCAAGAGCCTTAACTGGATGCCTCTCCTTGTTGAGTTTTATTTACTGGCAAGTTTCACTTCATATCCTTGCTCCACTTTGTAATTTACTGCTTATTTTATATTTATCATTGCAAATGAAATTTTTGCGTTATATGGATAAAGTTTTGTTTTTCTTGGTTAGAAATATTGTCAGAGAACTTTCTACTTTCTAATCATGCAATTCATGTAATTGCTAAGATCTGATAAATGATGGATTTGTTTAATAGTGAGAAATATTTTTTGAGTGTTTTCTTATTGCTAGAGAAGCAATGCATTGCCTGCTCTACCATGCTTCAGAATATTCTTCTTTAGATCATAAATTTTTATTGTTTGGCGGGTTAGGACAAGATTATATAAACTACTAGGTAACCAACTACCTTTTTCCTTTCAGCATTCAGAGGTTACCTTTGTCCCAGTCTATTTTATTAAGTTTCACAACTCCCATTATGGCTTCAATTGCAGCAAGAATAATTTTGCATGAGAAGTTGAAAATTGCCAATGTTGGAGGTATAGCAGCATTTCTTCCTTTCTCTTATTATTTTCAATAGAAAAGTTAAACTGCCTTGCGTGAGATCTGGAGTAATTGCTTAGCTAGTTGCCATTTATTTTGCAGGTCTTGCGTGCAGTTTCTTTGGCGTGCTATTCATTTTTAGACAGATACTTACTACACAAGGTAGAGAAGTGAGTTAACAAAAGCCTCTTATACTGTGTTGAATGGATACATTAAATATTCAGTGACCGAATCAATTATATTTGTTATTTAATTTGTCTTGAATTCCGATAATAATGATAGTAAATTCCTTTGCCTTTTCATTTTAAGCTCTACTCTATTCATGCATAGGTTGCTGCTGCATGGCCCATGCAGATGGTATTGATACTCCTTAATGAGAGCAATCTGGAACTTTGGATTGTTTACTGCATTATAAATGCTCTGCTCTTTACCACTTTTCTTTGCTCCTCTCTATCCTTCCATCCATTACTTATTTTCCACCATAACCAATTTTTCACTCTGGAGTTCATAATGTTTTTGATGCTGAAGGATAATATTCTGTGAGGCCATTCCAAAGTTTGATATGTGCCAATCCTGAATGTGTTTTTATAGAAAGGAAAGACATGCTAATGCATATAACATTTTAGGCTATTATATGAAGCTAGTGGATTAGATAACCTGCAATGTTTTTCCAATGCAAGCAGATCCAATGCTTAAATGGGAAGTGGTCATATGATAGGGAACTAAACAATTCCTTTTCTCTTCTTTCATTTTATTCTTTTTGTCCTTTGTTTGTAGTTTATGTGCAGCAGATTTTAGACATGGTTGCATTCTGCAATGACACCGCTATTTTATTCTTCAATTGCTTCTCTTTTAATACAACTGTTAGTTATTGTTTATGGCCTTATCTGTTATTAAACACGTTCTACTGGGACAGGAGCATTAGTTAGAGCTGGTGAAACAAATTATATAGCCATCAAGAGCAGCAACCATGTATTAACGGTGTTGGTTGGCTTGTTCTCATCAATAACTGGTGGAATCAGCTACTGCCTTTTAAAGGCAGGTGCAAAGGCATCTGATCAACCTTTGTAAGATCACCAACTTTTTTTTTTTTTTGATCCTCAAAAAGATAGTATCTATTGCAATGGGATGGTGATGCTCATGTATTACTTCTGCAACTTCAATCCAGTTTTTCCTCTTACCTTATGTAGTAATTCCTTCTTTCTTTCGTACAACTAGTTATGTCCTTTGCTCTTGTATTGATTTTGCTATTTTATCTACTTTCCTTTTTAGGACCACTGTTTTTTCATTTGGTATGCTGACTACTCCTGCCACAGTAATATGTACATTTGCCTTTGAGGTAAGTTCTGTGATATTGTTAATATACACAAGGTTTTGCAGAATTGTTTTAAGCCTGAAATTCCTCTGCCTTATTTGTCAGTGGATTTCATCAAGGCACTTTTAAAATGGGCTTTGCAGCCTAAAATCCTAACTTTTCCTTTTCTGCTTGTTGTAGGCATTTTGTTTTTGCCCCTTTACATCAAACATATGTTTTGTGCTAATTGATGGTCAATATTGACGTTTACTATCAATAATCTTGTATTTGAAATTTCTTTTAAAATAGGTCTGACCCAACAGCTTAGATAGTTACATGTTGGAATTTTTTAGTCAGAGGATATTTACTTGCATACCATCTTTGAGCATAGGATTGGATGTGCAAGCCCACCACAGCAAGCAATGTGCAAAGCCTGATGAATGCATTTACTATGCCTACTCTCAACCCTGTGAAAAGTGAACAGGATAATGACATGCAGTTTATCTTGAATGCCATCTTGGAAATGAAATCATTCTCCAGTGCTGTTCATGAAAATTTTCAAATTTTTACCGCTGCTGTTGAGGTCAAACATCTTCCTCTTGGGGGGGGGGGGGGCGCGCGGGGGGGACAATGTTTAAAGAGTTCCACAAATTCAAGCTGAGTGCTTGAACTCAATTGTCCTAGAATTCCTCCATTTTCCCTCGCTAATCGTTTTTTTTTTAGTTAAACAATAGCGAGTTTTGGTTAAGAAATGAATTCAAATTAGAATAAATATTAATAATTTCAAAAGAATTGGCATATATAAATTTTCAAATTTCAATCAAACTGCATGTTTGCATGAAGTGGCTGCGTTTAATGCTTGAACATGTTGCACTCTTGAGGTTGCAAGCTCAAGGCTTGACTATTGCACCTAGCAATTGTGTCTTTATCTGTTCAATTGAATGCTATGCATGTTTGTCTCTTTGGATGTTTCTTAATGAGTTCTATTTTATATTGCAGGAATTCGTGCTCCCAAATTTTTTCACATTTTTTCTAATGCTTGTACTTGGTCTTCTGTCCTTCTCTGTAGAGGTGCCACTTTAAACTATAATCCATATTTATGCTTGCCTTTTATCATTCAAACAATGGTCCTGTAATTTTAAAAGTAGAGCATAGCTTCTCAACCAGATTGCTGATTGCTTTGTCACTGGATGGGTGTCATATATTTGTGCTCTGTTCCAGGTGTTTTTGGCACGCGGACTTCAGCTTGAGAATATCAGCAAAGCTGCAAATGTCTTGTACATGGAGGTACTGTTTTGTTAAAAGTCTCTCACTCCCCCACTCCCTCGCTCTCTTCCTCCTTCTGTCTCTCTCTCAGCATGGTAAACAGGATTCAAATGCTATTTTGGATTCAGAGCTTCTGAAATCCTAGGAAGGAAACATTTTTGCTCAAAATACTAATACTAAAAACTGATCACAAGTGTAAAAATATGAAGTGCCGTCCTGAGATGTTATGGACATAAACCTAGAATATCACCAATAATGTTCATTTTTACATTTGAGCAATAGGTGAAAATTGATTGTCTGCTAACAATACATTCTCCTGTCTTTTAGGCTGCCTTATCACAGCTATGGGGAATTGGTTCATTGAGGGTAACTCCATCTTTTGGTGGATTGGTTGGATGTTTGCTTATTTTAATTTCATTATTTTGTACCTTATATATTGGACCTGACAAAGAGATGGAGTGAAAGATTCAACGTTTCTGTCTTGTGGAAGGTATACTCGTCAAATTCAAAAGCATGAACTTTTATCTAGGGGCATTTTATTATCTTCGCTTCCTTGTGACTTTCTAGTTATATTGTAATCATCCTTTTTATGTGCTCATTGATAGGTTTAATCTGCAAATATAATCCCTAAGCTTATTTGCTTTTTTTTTTTTTTTTGGGGGTATAAATCCGTAGATTGCTAACCCATTAAGCTGGTGACTGCTAGTCTAGCATGCCAATAGAAGTTTGGTTAGATGTTGCATGTGGATTTAAATGTTCTAGTGATTGCTATTAGTATGGGAGTATGCAACTTTAAACAACTCTCTCTGTCTGAGGGAGTGGGGTTAAGTGGGAGTGCCCATTGCCAAAGTAGATGCAGTTCCTCCTGAATAAGGAACATGGACCGGTGATGATTGGATGATTGTTTTATCTATAGGTAAATCTCGCATCTTAGAGGAGAGACCATAGAAGGGAAACTTATCTTTTTCGAGACCCGTTATTCCTCTTCCCTAGGGCTTCTTTTGCTCTCTTCAACAATTGTCCTCTTTTTGAAAGGTCGTATCCTTTCATATCTCCTTCGCCGCCTAGATTTAACAAGTCTAAGACAAATGAACTAATTAACCAAATTTAATCAAGCTACTAAGCTCAAAAGTTCTAAAAGAAGAAAGAACGCAGATGACTAAATTTTTGTCTAGTCACGTAATGGTTTCTATCTTTTTTTCCCCTATATTTTGTTGAGGTGTGATTGAATTAATCATTGTTAACTAGGAATGACAATGGGCAGGTATTTTGTTCATTATTTCAATTTTTTATTTTATCCATAAAAAAAATATTTTATTCATTACCCATTAAGAAATTATTCTTTATTCAATTTATATCCTGTTTACTTGTTTTAATATTCATTTAATACCCATTAATTTTAATTTGTCAAAAATATTCATTTTAGTTCATATAATTTTTTTTTTAAAAAAAGTTTTTTCAATCCTTAATTTTTAATTTTCATTTTGGTAATTTATTGTTAAGTTTTTGAAAAAAAAATTGATCCTTAATTTTTAAATTTTATGTAATTAGATTCTTGTATGTTAATAAAAAAATCTAAATAAATTAGTGAATATTAATAAGGTAAAGAATGGATATTCATATCCTGAAATTATATTAATGAATATGTATTTTTTTGTTCTTACATGTTTCAATATTTATTAGATATTTTTAATAGATATTCATTTAATATCCGATAACTAATAACTAGGGTTCAAATTGGCATTCTTCAATAGATACAACGATAGTTTTCGTAATGTTGCTGATTTCCACTTTCCAGCGAAACGTAAAACATTTAAAGGAGGTGAGACTGAGGCGTTGTAGTTTGGAATGAATATGGATGGTGCTTCTTTTGTTATGGAAGCTAGCAAGTGCTGTAAGCAACTCAAAATAATTCACTGATATGGCTGCAAGCTTTTGCAGCTAATTTTGGTCCTTGCTGTAGTAAGATGGCAGAAGTCTGGACTGCCTACGTCGGTCTGGACATTGCGTGGAAATGTGGAATAAAGGCAGGAGTAAATGGGTAATTAGAAGTTGATTCTGGCAATTGAGTTGGTGCTATTGATAGTACTAGTCTAGTGACGCATCACCAGTTGATCCTCTGTTAGCAGAAATTCGTAAGCTCATTGGAGGTGATTGGGAAGTGGAATTTGCAGCATCCTTATGATGAAGTTTGGATGTGTCTTGGTTTTAGGCATTCGTGAGTTTTGTAACCCATACAGCAACGTGATGCAGTTGGGGTGACTATTCCACGTAGGGTCGTACGCAATTTCATTTGGGCTTTCGCCCCGTTATCGAAAAAGAAAAAAAATTGATGAAAATCATTCGTGTCATCGTTTGTACTGTTTTATGCTTATTGATTCAAGATAAAGTGAACGAGTGAGTTTAGATGTCGGCATTGGAATTAGTGTAGTGGTATAAAATGGTTTAGAACAAAGATTTTAATGGCCTTAAGGAATAGGTTCAGTGGCTAAGCGGATTTGTTTTCTTCTATTGATTTTTAAATTTAAATTTAAATTTTAGGATCTGTAACCAAGAAAATATATTTTTTCAAAATATGCAAGGTCAATATGGGGTATGTATTTTTAAGATCATTAAGAAAGAAAAAAGAAAGTTTAATAGTTTAAAGAGTCCTAACTAAAAGTTTTTTAAATTTGACCTAGACTGTTTGAATGAAAGGAAATTAAAATTACACAATACTCAATAGCCGCTATTTAGGCTGTTTATGTGTTCCTAACATTTCATTACTTTTTTCCAATGGTTCCCTTTCGAGTTACGATAGAAAGAGAGGAGAGATTCTCTCTCTCTTTTTTTAAAAAAAAATATATGAAAAGAGAGGAGAGATTCTTATCTTGAGAGGTTTGAAAATGAAATCACACACGCACTACTCGAATAACGTTATTATTATCAGAAGAAATTGATTTCATCATATTTGTTAAGGTATGGAATCAGATTTTGCGGACGTGTCACGATCGTGAGAGATGTTAGTCCGAACCGAAAGCTAAAGCCGTCACCACCACCCTTCTTCGAGACCAATCTACCCCCTCTGCTTCCACTTATTCATCCTTTTGCCACCCACCTTTCTTTCATGTTTTCAAGCTAAAAGCCACTGCCACTCCTCTCCCTCCCTGCGTCTACCTTGCTCTGCACATATTCTTTCCCTCTTCCACCACAAAAAGAAACCCCAAAAAAAAAAAAATTAAAATCAATGACTACAGATTCCCTACTACAGAAGGCCACAGGCTAAATGTTACGCTAGTAAAGTAACGTTACACTGTCATTTAATGCCCGTCAACTTCACCGTAGTAACAACACACTAGTTAATAATTATATCGACTTTCATTTCTAACACCTACCATCTTCGCCAAATCTGGTAGGCTCAGTCACTTGCCACTGTATTTTCTTCCTCCTTTTTTCACTTTCTAATTGGTGGTTCTCTGGTCAGTCCATGAATTAACTATATACCGCCCATGTTTCTATGTGCAATCAATTAGTTTCTTCTAAAAATCACAAGTTTAAATGCTAATAGATGAGTTTTATTAAGAGATTTGACTGTATATATTGAATGTGTGAATTAAAAAAATTCTCGAGTTTAATGTCCATAAATCCTTAAACGTTGTCGAAAAGAAACCATTCAAGTTAATATTAAGAAAAGTGCAAAAATCTGATGTTTTTAAAACATTTCAAAAAACATCATCAAATACGGTTTGAAAAAACACTGTTACATATTTCGTTCATGACGTGAGGGCGAGGAGTACCACCCCCATCGTATCGTCACAAAATCATATGACAGCCGTACGGTACAGCAGAGGAGGAAAAGTAGAAATGACAGTGGGGATATAATTGTCCTATTGTTACAAGACCACACCATTTCATCCAGTTCCTCAAATAGTTGAAGCGTTTTGACTGTCCTGCAAAAAGTGGGGCCAGGATGGCTATCTGGTAGTTAAAGGAGAAAATCAAGGGTGATTTCAAAATACATAGACACAGTAAAAAAAAACAGACACAGTTACTCACAAGCTTATCAAAGCCAGCTACGTAGCGCAACAGAAGAAGAGAGGGCTACTTGGCTGGCTGGCTGAGTGTTTTTGGCTTTTCAAATTGTTCTTTTTCTCTTTCTTTTAAATTTTTTTTCTTGTTGCTTCTCTTTTGCTAACTTTTGTTCGCTTTATATCTGTACTTTTACTTTGTTCCAAGTTCTTTCTTTCTTCTTCTTGATCATCTATCTAGCTATTCTCCTTCTCTTCTTGCTTTATCTATTTTTTGTTTTTGGTTTCGAGAATGGCAGACATTATTAGTCACCCTCCCATGGAACAACTCCAAGACCTTGAATACTGCATAGACTCTAACCCTCCTTGGGGTACGTGCCTTCAACCTCTCCCTTTCTTTTCTTTTTATTTTTTGGTTTATTTCTTTTTTCTGGAGTTTACCATGGACTAGTATGAGATTCTGGCTTTGGTATCTGAGATTACTACCGCATTACAAAACTTGAGAAAAACACGTAAGAGTAGAGAGAACGAAATATGTATATATATATATATATATATATATATATATATATATTATAATGATGAGATGATGAAACTATATACATGAGACGACGACGACTCTACATTCTACCCTTTCTACTGCATCTGCAATTTTTTGTAGTAATCACTCAAAGTTTCTTTCTTTCTTTCTTTCTCGTTTTGTTTTCGTAATTTCCGGTGACTTTCAGCTATAAAACAGCTGTGTTTTTCTCTTTCGATGGGATTATTCTGGTTTTTACTTGGCATTGATGAAATGTGATTGGTCACCTGATAAACAAAAGTAGTCATGCGTTGTCGCTCTAAATTGATGGTTGTGTTTGCTTTAAATGAATGAAAGAATTATTCATTAATCTACTGTTCGAAAATTAATTAATGTAGTATAATAACAGATAGGCCTGCAAGTGTGGGCTATTTACTGTATATGCATTTTGATAAGAAGAGCTGCATTTGGTTGCTTAAGTGAGTTTGTAAACAGGTTTCTTTGCAATTAACCATAAACTCTATAGATTGAATAGTTAATTAGCAAGCAAACGAACTAATTAATGAAATTGAACCCTTGAAACCAATTGATTAATATTGGTAGTTGCTGCTACTGCTGGTTTTTAATGGAAAGAAAACATGTGAAATTTATGTTCTTGGAATAATTATAGCAACACCAGTGGGGGGATCAATCTTAGATTTTTGTTAGGAAAATAACTTAGAAACCTGGAATTGCATATCTATTTTGAAATGATACTTGGTTCAAAACAAGATATAGTTGCAGCTATCTACAATGTTGGCCGGAATACAGTCACATCTTTCAGCGTTGGATACTTAAACTTCATTTGGGCTACAGTGAAACCAAGTCCCGCAGCAAAACCGAAAGACACTCTTAACCAGAAAATTGTGCAGTGTGCTTAGATGCTTAAATGTTGACTGAAGCATGAAACTGATGTTGAATAAAGCTTATTTGTTTTTGAATGGAAACTTTTGATGTTGGTGTGCTAAGATGTCTTCTTTACTTTCTCATTTTATGATCAAATCTTTATCTTATTCTTGCAGCTGAAACCGTCATATTAGCGTTTCAAAACTACATTGTAATGCTGGGCACAAGTGTAATGATCCCTTCTGTACTCGTTCCAGCAATGGGCGGCACTGACGTAAGCCTGTTATCCATTAAACTATCTTCAGTTCGAATTGCATTTTTCTGTTTTCGCTCTTGGCTTAGGATTTTGCTATTTGGAACATGAATGTTTGTCGTGATGGGCCTATTGCCTCAATACTTGTGGTAATCTTATATGGAGATATTTTAGCCTAGAAGATTTGATTAGTGATGGTTGTCACTGTTGTAGATCTCGGGCTGTTGTTTTTATGTTTTAATTTTTTAAACTTCCTCGTTGGTTATGCAACCAGGGTGACAAAGCTCGAGTAATTCAGACTCTGCTCTTTGTAGCTGGCATTAACACACTTCTCCAAGCACTTTTTGGTACAAGGTTGCCAGCAGTAGTGGGAGGGTCCTATGCTTATGTGATTCCTATTGCTTACATTATAAGTGACTCTTCTTTGCAACGGATTACGGACGGTCATGATGTAAGTTCCTCATGTTGACCCTTATTCTTTGGGGTCCACATCGAAAATAGCAATTGATCGAACGTTTATACTGTGGCCTTTAAAAATGCAAAGAACTGACGTTCGTAAGTATTTACAGACTGATAAACCTGAAGAGCTAAATTCTGTCTTTTGCCTTGGGTCTTAAGCTATGTTGAAAGAAACTTTGGAATCAGAAACAAAGAAATGTTGACCTTTTTTAGAGGAAAGATGTATGAGTGCAAACTCGCCTTGTTACATGAAGTAGCCACACCAAGTCCCTAATGCATATAAGCTTGAATTGTCATTGTTTAGAAACGAAGTCACAAAACAAATGGTTTTCACCCAAAATGAACAGGGATGCAAGCCTCATATCTAACATCATAATCATGTTGCATTGAGAGCTCAAATTAACACCACCTTGATGATACTGCAAGTCCTAGATCTTCAACAATTTCATTCCTTTTACAGAAGTTATACTTAATAACTCTTTTATTTGGTAGGGTAATTGAAAGAGATCTTCCCATGTGATTGGTTTGCAGAGATTTATACAAACAATGCGAGCCATCCAGGGAGCTTTAATTGTAGCCTCCAGCATACAAATCATCCTGGGTTATAGTCAAGTTTGGGGTTTGTTTTCAAGGTACATTGGTTGCATTTGAAAATGTGTGAGATGACTGAACTGCCAATTTACCATTTCTTTTGGTCACCGGTATTTTGTCTCATTTGCAGGTTTTTCAGTCCTCTTGGTATGGCACCTGTGGTTGGATTGGTTGGTTTAGGATTGTTTCAAAGAGGATTTCCTGCTGTATGTATCGTTATGAAATTTGATATATTGTTTTAATTTGCCTTTGTTGGGTTGACCTTGTAAGCGTTTCTCTTTGATGTTTTCACATCTCTTGAGGCTAATTTATTATTCTAATTAATCATGGATCGCAACATGTAAGCTGCCTTTTTGTAGTTCTTAAGATCTAGCTTATCATTTTCTCAATGACGTAAAAGCTAAATTTTATTATTAGCATCTGAGTATTATAGAGCCTATTGATAAGGGTGACATTCTGGAATTTTAGAGTGTAGAAACTTCAACACAAGCAGGCATTATGCTCTTTTACCTCGTAATTATGATACAAGATGGATTCTCAATTCCTATCATGCTTTTCTTGTTTGCCATTTTTTTGGAAAAATTCATGATTTCATCTTACTATGCTATTTTGCAGTTGGGTAATTGCGTGGAAATCGGGATCCCAATGCTGCTGTTAGTTATTGGATTGTCACAAGTAAGTTCTTTTAAATTGGAATCATTTTCTTACTGTATGAATTATTCCCTCCCTTCACATTTTATGGATATTGTGAACTGCAGTATCTCAAGCACATAAGACTATCAAGAGACTTCCCAATATTTGAACGATTTCCAGTGTTGATTTGCATTGCATTTGTCTGGATATATGCTGTCATTTTAACTGCTAGTGGGGCTTACCGGGAGAAGCGATCTATAACTCAGCATAGTTGCCGTACGGACAGGGCAAATCTTATATCTGCTGCCCCATGGTATATTAAAGAATGAACTCTAGATTTGTACTGTGTTTTTGCTTGTTTTGGAAATTCATGCATTATGTTATTTCAGGTTCAAGTTCCCGTACCCTCTGCAGTGGGGCCCACCAACATTTTCAGCTGGTCATTCATTTGCTATGATGTCTGCAGTTCTTGTATCTATGGTTGAGGTATTTTTTTAGTTTCGAAAAGTGGCACATTATTATCTTCTTCATGGTACCCAATATTGCTTCTTACATAGTTTGATGTGAACTACTGTTTAGTTTCTTTATGATGTCACTATACCTTCAAATGCTTTGGTGCCTTTTGAAATTTAAACTGAAGTAGACAAACATTGAATTTTACATCAAATTATATAGTTCCATCACTGACCTTGTGTTCTGACAAAATTCAAGCTCATTCTTAAATTTGATGCTGCAGTCAACTGGTGCATACAAGGCAGCATCTCGTTTGGCTATCGCTACTCCACCTCCTGCTTATGTATTGAGCAGGGGCATTGGCTGGCAAGTGAGTTATTGGTGCATCTTCTGTCTTCTGTACTTCTCACTTAAATCTAGCATCTAGGAAATGGTATCGCCATCAATATTGACAACATTTGAACAATCTTGCAATACATAATCAGCAAACTTTTAAAGCTTTTTTTTTCCCTGACTGGAACTGTCATTTTCATCGAAGACTTGAATAATTTTGCTGTTGTTTTGGCAGGGCATTGGCATAATGCTTGATGGTCTGTTTGGGACAGGCACTGGTTCCACCGTTTCTGTGTATGATACACACTTGAATGAGCCATCTGCAACCGTACCTTGGATGATTATGGTGGTTTAAGTATTTGTCTTGAAAATTGACTGGAAACTTGGTTATGATTTTCAGAGAAAACGTGGGACTCCTTGGACTGACTCGAGTTGGAAGTCGCAGAGTTGTTCAAATATCTGCTGGCTTCATGATATTCTTCTCCATCTTAGGTTTGTATTACCTTATGATGCATGACAACGATTTGGACATGGCATGTGGAAAAGAGTGCTGTGCTTAGTTTGGTAGAATCCCTAAAGACATCACCTATGAGGAATTTTTATGGGACTAAGGTATCAAGCCAATTGGTCTTGAAATCATTTTCCAAATCAAAATCATCTTGTAGGAATTAAGTCTCTAACATTACTTAACTCCGCTGAAGTCTCCTCTTGATCGTAATTTGAGAGCAAGTTGAAATCATTCCGGTTCATGAATTTGATGGTTTCTTGATTAAAATTAAACGTTGTCACTATAAATGGTTCATTTAATTGTTTATTTTCTAAACAGGGAAATTCGGAGCGGTGTTTGCATCCATACCCTTCCCAATATTTGCTGCATTATACTGTGTTCTTTTTGGCCTTGTTGGTATGTCATTGTCTCACTCGGATATGTTTTTCTTATTACATTTGTCTTGTTTGCGGATTTTTTTAATCAACTTCTTGTTTTCAGCTTCAGTGGGACTATCATTTCTTCAGTTCACAAACATGAATTCCATGAGAAACCTCATAATTACTGGGCTGTCACTCTTCCTTGGCATTTCTGTCCCCCAGTTCTTTAATGAATATTGGAATCCCTCACACAACGGTCTCGTCCATACTAATGCTGGATGGGTAAGTATGCTTTACGCTAACTCAAGTTTCCTTGCGAAATGAGCAGAACATTTACAGATTGATACACTGAATCACGTTAAAATGACCTAAAATGTTCAGTTTCTATCTTTTTAAGACAAAAAATGATGAGGTTTGTTCTGAATTATTTCCTGCCTTTGAGCATACATTGTTAACGTTTAGTTACAATGAAATGTTTAACGTTAGATTCGGCTTTGTTGCAGTTTAATGCTTTTCTGAATACCATATTCTCATCTCCGGCAACAGTGGGGTTGATTGTCGCCGTGTTCCTGGACAACACGTTAGAGGTGGAAAGGTCAAAGAAAGACCGAGGAATGCCATGGTGGGTAAAATTCAGAACATTTAGAGGAGACAATAGAAATGAGGAGTTCTACACTTTGCCATTCAATCTGAACAGATTCTTTCCACCCACTTGAAGACAGTCGTCATCAGTAACCCGAGCTAATTGATTCTGCAGTCCAATTCGATTAACATGATGCTCCGATCTCTCTTAATGTATATCCAAAATCATTTGACAGACAAAGGTCTTAGCAGATACTACTGTTCTTTGAATTTTTCACAGGCGCTCAAGTGTTTTGCAGACCACAAGGTCCAAGCCTGTAGGAATTTGATCCATGATTTTGAGGAGAAATAAGAACTAAAATCAGTTCAGCCTTCTAATTAAAAAAGTTGATTCAGTCTTTTAAATGTTGCAGGCAAATAAATTGGAACTCCAGTATCTGGCAATTTCTACTAGTGCTAGTAACTATCAAGACCCTGACAATGCCAACGTCTTCTCCATCAATTGTTCATGTTTTCTGTTACTGCTTTCAAAATTCTTACCCCAGTTTAAGATTCGTCCAAGTTTGATTCTTTATATGCGACTAATTGTTAGATCTTCTTAACAAGCCTTAAGGGCCAAAGATAATGGAATTATGATTATCAATTGGATTTAAAAAACAAGCGTCAATGACCATGACTATCCTGGTTTCATACCAAAGTGTCCAAATAACAAGGTTCTTGATCAAAATTATTGTCATTGATTATTCCAATGACAATCAATCCACGGTTATATTCTCTTTCATAAAAGAAATAATTTATCAAAACCTAATAATAAACATGATTTCTACCCTATATTAAGAAGCCTCAGACAGTATAAATTGACATCAATGTGAAATTCAGTCGGTAATTCCAACTAAAAAACAATCATCATTGGCTCCATAATATTTTCTCGCTACCACCGAATTAATCAAACATTTAACTTTTAAAAAATATTATATTTTCAGTCAAAAAACACAGGAAAAAAATGTAATCGCTGGAAACGGCTCCATGGATCAACCGAATAAGATCCACAGATTCCTATCAGCAAGCGAATCATGGAATTTGTATCGGTCCAATCATAGCATCGTTGGTCAACGCCATTTTGGCTACCGGCGACGTGGCATCGGACCTTAATTACTCAACAATAAATAGAATTAATAAATAAAACCCTCAGAGACCCGTTCCAAATCACACACACAGCGACACACAGTAGCCCAGTGATCCCGACCAATGAGCAAGCCAAAGAAGACGAATCCCGGAAAGGAAATGCTTCCGTTGGGTTGTGATTGGTGGAAGGAAAACGTAGGTACGAGAGTGTTATCACTGCGGATAAAGTGTCATACGGCACTTCCTATCTATAGGGATTGCTTCCTCATAGGGAGACCTTTTTTTTTTTCAAAAAAAAAACTAGAAACTATAAACCTGATAAGATCTAATGTAATTTTGAATAACTCAAGCAGAAGCAGAGGCTAGAAAACCCTAAAGTTCTTCAAGAGCGCGAGCGTATTGCAGAGCAGAGAGAGAATCGAGGATGAAGAGAGAGAGGCATCGAGGAGTTTATATAGAGTGGTGAAGAGTAACCCTAGCTGTGGCAGTGCGGTTTTCTAATTGGGTACGGGAGTTTTTGCAGAGATGAGGATTCGGCTATTGGATTAGGGCCTATCTGTGTCCTGGGCTGTTCAAATATTTGAGGCTCATTTTGAATGGATCCAGCTTATCGGGCCCTTCGTAGCTTTACTTTTTCCTTTTCCTCCGTCGTTTTTGCTTTTACTCGTTACAATTACAGTTGCAAACTACAAAACTCTATGAAAGAAGAGTGCTTTTTTTTTTTTTTTTTGTGATTTTTAAGCTGTTTTTGGATATTTATAAATTTATTTTGATTCTTAAAACTTTAAAATAAAATTTTTGATCTCCTTACTGCTGCACGCTCTAGAACGTAATTTGCATTGGACCAGCTTCTATAGACCCAAGCATGTAGGCTTGCCTTGAGCCTATAGAAGCCAAGCGTACAAGCCTGCCTCTTCCTCTTCTTTTTTACCTTTTTTTTATTTTTTGATCGACTTATGTTTTTTTATTGAATTAAGTGTGAAAATTATGAAAAACGATGATTATTTTTTTCAATACAAGCTAATGACTATGTAATATATATAATATGTTTTTAGATTTTAAAATGAATATACATATTAAATTATATTATTTTTATTGTTTAAAATTAATATCTTTTATTTTTTGTTTTTTATAAAATTCTCATCAAATTAATTTTTTATTAATAAATATAATTTATTTTTTCTATATATGAATTTTTTAATAAGATTTTTTTTAACTTTTTTTTACTTAATTCTTATATAATCAAATTTTAAAAATAGAATTCACTTGTTCTATTTTTTTATTCTTTATATAATTAAATTTTATGAAAATCAATTTTGTTTTTTTTATTATACTCTATTAACTTTAATATAATTTTTACTATTTAATTTTTTAAAAAATATTTTTTTATCTATGCTACAAATTCTAACAATAAATATTGTTATAATATATAAAAATAATAATATAAAGGTCATTAATTTTGTTAGAAATCAACTATCCATACATCCATATATGCATATTACACAAAACATTTGCTATTATGTTTTAATATGTTAAAAAATTTTTTTTTTTAAAGAACAACAAATGCTCTCAAATGAACCAGAAAATCTAAAACCCAGAAATACTTCTTCAAGCGCAGAATCCTCTCAATCCCATAATTACTTCCCTTAACCCAGGAACCCTTTCTTTAAAACCCAGAATTCCTCTCTTAAACCCAATATTCCTTTTTTTTTCTTTTTTTTTTCAAAACTAGCATTCCTCTATTTCAGTCCCGAATCCCCCTCAAATTCTCCCAAACATACTCCATTTATACCCAAATTCTAGTTCTCCTCAACTCTAGAATCCTCCTCCAATTCATCCTGACCATTCCCATTAAATCCAAAACGAGACGCTCCTGCCATTTTGTCGTCTGTGCTCAGTATATTTTCAGGACAAAAATTCTAGAAAACGAGACGATGACCATTTCTGGAGGGACGGAAGGATTTTGGGTTGTAGTGAACGACATGTCGTTCTAGAAAACTTCCAAATTAGTCCGGTCGCTCCTCATTTCTATTTCCGTCCCTGTTAAATTTAATAGCTATTCAATTATACCCCTAGGCTCGTTATTTTGGTCCCTTTTTCTTTAATGTTTCACAATTATACCCCTGTATTTCTCCATTTCAGTTTTGATTCTTTTGATTTGTTCAATTGCACCCCTGATGTCTCCTGATTCCAGTTTCTGTTTCTTTCAATTGCATCCCTATTTTTCTTCAATTTTAGTTTCCATTTGTTCAATTGCAACCTATTTCTCTTCAATTTCAGTTCTTCTTTCTTTTCAATTACACCCCTGATTTTATTTTCTCAATAATTAATCATGTTTGCATTTTTATTCTTTTTTGTATTTTCATTTTTTTTCAAAATAAAATAAAAAGAAATTAACCTAATTTTTATGTTTTGTTCTTTTTTTCATCATTTTTTAATGTTGATTTTTGTTGTTGTTGTTTTTTTTTTTTTTGGTGTGTGATACAATGAAAGATAAATTATGCTAAAATCTAAAACGAAAATTTAACTAGAAAAAAAATTAATGAGAATAATAATAATAATAAATGTAAAAATAAATACGCATGTGTAAAATTAATATTTGTAAAGATAAAAATTGTGAAATAAAATCAATAAAATGGGAGGGCAAATTTTTTGTTATGACACATATTTTTGGTTATTATGCTAATTGTATAAACATTGTTAACAATGTATTCACTTCTTCTTTCAATTAATATTTTACTTATTATCTCTTTCGTTATCATCATCGCTACTAAAAGCATTGCATATTCAATACCTAAATAAAAAAAGTTTGATCATAAAATTTTTTCATATTAATTAAATTTTTTCATATGGTGTGTGGCCATAGAAAACTTATGTCACTCGTGATATGTTGGTCGATCTTCTCTTTAAATAGAGAAAACAATTTTTATTCTTTATAAATTTTTCTATTGGCCTACCATTTGTTATGCAAATGACAATCATAATTGAATCTTATATGTCTTTTATTTTTTAAAATTTAATCTTAATTAGACCTTATGTATATTTAGACCAAGTGACATAATGTTAAATTTGTCTAGATGGTAAAAGATTTAGAATTTTTTAAAAATAATTTTTAACTAATATAAAATACTAAAAAACTATTTTTTATAAGTAGAAAACTTTATGAGTATAATATAGAAAAAATTTATTGGTAATGCAACAAAGAAATTTATCCGACTAATTTTGCGATCCCGAGACAATAAATTTATTGAGAAAACCGCATTTCAATTGCTTAACCATTGATTTTTTTTTTATTTTTTCTATTAGGTACTCAATTTTTGTTTTTATTTTATTTGAGTGCTCATAGTTATCTAAGAGTATGGATTGTTGATGTGTCTAAAGTTGATTATCATGTAACAACTCTCATTAGATGCATTAGTAAAATTGAATTTTAGGTTACTTCGGGTACTAAAATAAACAAAAAGTTAAAATTTGGTTAGCAAAGTATTAAAAATCAACTATTAAGTCCAAAACAAAAAAAATAAAAATAAAAAATGGGCATAAAAAAATACCGTTTTCTCTGTATAAAACTGTAAAAAACAGCACCATTAAAGCAAAAACAAAATCATTGGTAAAATTAAATTATAGAAGATATGTTTGGAAACGTGACCGTGTATATGTAGATTGTATAGCAAAAACCACTACAGTACATTTGTATATATAAATGCTTTTAAATATATATATATATATATATATACCAAACGAGTCAGCCGGCTAATATAATCAATCAACCTAAAATTCGAAGACCCAAGATTTTAATTGGATCAGGTCCCAAGCCGGGAGCTTGACAGCTTTTATTCTAAAATTCCCAACTTTTTTTTTTTTTAGCGGAAACTTTCCTTGAAAAATTGAAATTGAATTACATCAAAACATTCTGAACCACTAGTCAAGTTAAAAAAATTTATTTGACTATAATGATTTTTTAATTAATAGTAGCCTTTTTTTTATTTTTTTACTGCACATAACAACATATGATTGCCTGAAAAACTGACACGCAGCCACGCTTCCTCACTGCCACGTCACCAAAACCGCCTTTTCCGTTCCCCTCCCTGCACCCAATTGCAAAACAGACCGTTCCTTCTCCTACTAGCTGCTCTCACTCAAATTTTTCTGGGAGCCAAGCACAGGTATTTCGTACTGTGTAATTAAGGAGTATCAGGGTTTCTGCTTGTTTGGATGCTGAGAAACTAGGTTAATTAAGACTCTTCTTCTTCCTGACCCTTCTTTTGTGCTTAGGATGTGGGGCCAACCTTGTAACCCCATCAGCCAGAGTCTTTTCACATGCTGCACAAATACCTCTGCCCGGCATTGACTTCATGGCCTTTATTGAGGGAGGAAAGTGAAGGGTTTTGGGGCCTGGAGAGAGAGAAGAACAAGTGGGTTTTGATAACTGAGAGAATTGGGTTGTTCCATGGAGCAATGGAGTGGAGAGAGTGAGGACGTGAGGGACATTGTTAGTGGCATTGTGCTGTATTCTTGAGTTTTTAGAATAAGAAGCGGAGGAATGGGAGCGGGGGCGTTTTCTACCGTTGCTTGTTGTCCTTGTTAGATTGGGTGTTGGTGTGGGAGGGTGAAGGTACAGGGTAAAATGGTCTTTTTCAATAGTTCAAAGTGTTTCCACATAACTTAGCCAAAATTCAAACTGCCGTCCTCCCGTCCGCATCCCCAACACCGTGCACCCACGATGCCTCAATTACAAAGCAACGATCGCTTTTAAAAGAAAAACGGTAAGGGCTTTGGATAAGTGAAATCAAATTAAACATTATGTCCATCGGCAGCGACACCACCTGGGTTGGTAAAAAGCCCATCAGACGAATCGGTGGCATGTCCGATGCCCTCTCCATCGCTGCCGAACTCGGATTTTCCGTTGCCCCACCCCCTTCTCAGGTCAGCTTCCTCTGTTTCATAACTCTTGCATTTCACAATTTAGCTACCCGACCCACATTTTTTCTTTTTGGTAATAATATGTTGTTCAATTTTGGGTTTATGAAGAAATTTCGAGGTTGTTGTCTGTTTCCTTAAAAACCCAAAAATTGTATGGTTTAGAATCATAGAATTTTGAGATTTCACATCATTCTTCCTCCTGTGTAGGAAGAACTTCAGAGCTTATCCACTACTGGTGGCGAAAAGGGTGATGACTTGATTAGAGTTTTAAGGGAACTAACTGCAGTACAAAGAAAAATAGCTGATCTACAAGTGGAACTTCAGGGTCGCAAGGTGAAGCATCCTCATTTATTTTGTCGCCCAATATTTTTACAGTAGGAACTTTTATTGATCTATGATAGTGATGGTATGGTCTGCTGGATAGCTCCATCGTGTCATTTTAACTGGACGGTGATGTAACTTTGTAGGATGATAAAAACGTGGCGCATTTGACGCATGTCAGTGAAATGGAAAAGAAGATTGACACATTATCAAGGATTACTACCATACTGAAGGATGTCATTCAGAATAAGGTAATCTATTTGAGTTACTGATATTGATGCTTTTAAGCCTTAGGGTAGATGCATTGCTGAATTCCATGAGGCCATATGGGTGTTAAGTTGCATGATTTTTCTTGCTTGTTCTTGTTGATGTGGAGAATCTTCGCAATCTCTGATGAATTTTCTTTTCCATATGATTTATTAAATGTGTGAAGTACTTAATTTAAAACTTACAGCATGGTCATAAATTTCACTTTTGGTTTCACATTAATTGTTATCGGCATGGGTGGTTATTATGACTGAAATTCACTTTCTTGACTATTACATAGCATTGCCTCTCTTGGGAAAGAAAATATGTACAAATGATTTCTGAATTCCAACTGGCAAACTGATCCTATATATGCACATAGAATTCGAAGGAAAAGTTTCTGATCTTGATATAACTTATTTGTGGCATCCATCCTGTAGAGTTCTTTTGTTCCCAGTATTATGGTTAGCGTGTGGGTGTGGTGGTTTATGTGGGATTACTTTTACATCTCTCACAAAGCACCAGGCTAAAGTTTTCCCTTCAATATTTGGTTTCCTCCTTTTGTGACACTTCTTTCTAGATTTCCATGGGGTTTCTTCTTAATCCTTTACTTTCTTTTAATAACTTTGTTTATCTCAATAGTCTTATGTTTATGCCTGCTTTTTGCAAATATTGGCAGGATCGTATTATATCTCGTCTTCAACAACCATATTCACTGGATTGCATACCAGTAGAAGCAGAATATCAGGTTGGTCATCCAAAGACAGCATGCTCTTGTAACACAGTAGATCATAAATTGGTTTGTATTTTAACTGTTGTTTCAGAAACTTAGTTCACTGTGTGTGTGAATGTTCACTTGCATTAAGTGCTATAAAAGAAGTGCATTTATTAAGTGCTTCAACTGCAGCAAACAGTCTTTCTTGTTAAGTAGCCATTAGGAACTATTGTGACAAAAAACCAAGACTGCTGCTGTGTTTGCAATATATTGATGTCTTATCATCAAGGTGGGTGTTGAGTTTTTTGCATTCAGTAACTCAAAATTTGATCACGGGAATGTTTTTTGGCCCCACGTTGAAGACTGAATTTTTTTTTTTTTTTTTAAAGTTCATGATCTTTCTATCAAAGGGGCTGTTCTTAATCAATAGTCATGGGTGCATTGACCTAAGATATTAACAAAAGTTCAATGAAACATAGGGAACTTTTACGTTCTTCTATTCATCTGAATAATGGTTGCATTGCATACCAGCCTTACAAACATAAGTTGGAATTTTTACATTCTTCTATGTAGTCATCTTGATTTGATGAATTGTGAATTTCGGTATTGAAGTCTTATTATGTAGTTGTGAGAAAATATCATGAACTCCAAGATTAAAATCTCTGATTGGATGTAGTTTCTGACAAGTTAAAAGATGACAATTTTGCTGCATGCACATCTTGTCACATCAAGTTATGTGACATGAATGATGAGAACTCTTCTACGTACATCACAGTTGTGATCTGGTTGTGCTCAGTCCTAGGTGAAGCAGTCCTTAATGCTGATATCAAAGTGCATAGATTTTGAATAAAGTGAACTTTCTTTTGATAAACTCTGTTCATAAAGCAAGGAATGATCTAAATAGAATGGAATTATAAAATAGTGGATCAGTTCTGGAAACTGGACCTCTGTGACATGTACGTTTAGTGCCCAATGGATTATTGTGGTATCTTTCCTCTGTCTCAACAGATACATGGTTACTGAACAGGAATTGGGGAATGAATGAAGCATGTCAAGAGTGAATGGGTTTCGTAGACTTATCTACAGTATCAGTTCAAGGTTTGCCCCCAGTCAAATGTTGCAATACCATGATTTCCCTGAGCAGAATAGAGCATCCTAGCCATCTACATGAAGCTCTTATGGGTAAAAGAAAATTGATCGTACTGGAGTTTGTGGAAGGACTTTTTATGTGTATGTGTATTTATTCATAAGATTGAGTTTGCAAGTATGATATCAATTTGTCCTTTTAATATTTAATTTGTAAACCATGAAGTGAATAAACTACCGTTATTGAGAATATATAAAGGTCTTAAAGTGCTGCAGATGCTGAACGTAGTTAAATTTTAGCACATGCATCACCAGGGCCAATAATAAACTACCGTTATTGAGAATATATAAAGGTCTTAAAGTGCTGCAGATGCTGAACTTAGTTAAATTTTAGCACATGCATCACCAGGGCCAATTAGTTGTTAGTTTTCTTCCTTAATTGTTTTGAAAAAAAAACTAATTCTGATTGTTTATGGCATCTATTGCTTGGATGGTGTAGAAACAATTTTCAGAGTTGCTGATGAAGGCCGCTAGCGATTATGGTGCTTTGACAGCTTCAGCTGCAGATTTCCAATGGAGTCAGAACTTTAAGGAGTCTCCTTCAGTGTGGGGGGTATGTTCATAGAAACATTGGGCATAGTTTCACATTTCTTACTTATTCATGTTTGTTTATGCTTTTTGAACGTTGTTTGTGCCATTCTCTTGTCCTGTTGTTGTATTCATCTTTTGTTGGAGTTCATAATTTTTTAACCACCAACTAATCAACAATACTTTTTGCAATAAATAAATAAATCCACCATATTGCTATATATGAGTTCATAACCATACAATGCAATATTAATTGATATCTTAGGAACCATATTGATATTTACTATCACTTTTTTTTTTATGCAAATCAATTTTGCTTTTAGGAATGTCTTTTGAAGGCAAAATCATCTTTAAGAATGGAACCTTTTTCCAAGGAAGAAATGACCACTCGTCTTAATGAATAATTGGAAGGTCAAATGCGTTTGGCCTTGTTGAGCTTTCTGGAAACATCAATGCTCTTCGGTCAATTTTAATAAGGATGCCAAGCCGTTGAGAATTAAGCAATATTTCTCTGAAAAGTTGTTAATGATCCTTTTGTAATTTTGGATAGGATCTCATTGCTGCTACCTACGGATATTTTATGTGTCATGAAATATGAGATCCTAAGACTTCATTATAATGTGGCTGGCAATGCTTCTTCTTCTTCTTTTTTTTTTTTTTTTTTTTTTTTTTTTTTTGACAATTGCACCAGTGGTGAGCATTTTCCTCAAAATTGTCAAAAACTATGTTAGTGTTATGGGAAGGTCTTGCTTCACAATCTTATTCTTTTTGTTATATTCATGCAGGAAATGTTACGGCCTATTCCTGTTGCCTTAGCATCCTGCACCCGATTCTTTGAAGCCATGTCTGCCATGAGAGAATCGTTTGCTACCCTTCAAAATTTGAGAGTTGGCCATTTAGGTCAAGATTCTTCACAGAGAGTATTTGGGGATTCGGAATTTGTGACTCCTCCCTGGAGAAATGAGTCAAGCTTTGATGACTTGGCAATCAAAACTGTGAGGAGACAAGAACTTGAGCAGCAAGAAGCAGATGATGGAAGTAGCGATGTGGGTGACGTTCATCAAGTCGATGACACAAGCCATAGGAGATTATCTTGGCCTCCATCAGTTAAACACGATGGTATTTAAATACAATTTGTCGTTCATGTTAAGATTTCTTAGATTGTATTCTATGTTGAACATTTTCATTGCAAGGAAATCCTCCATGATATCCTGCATTGAAGTATTACACCCATACAATTTGTCATTCGGGCTTCTCTCTTACTCGTTATACTGTTGTTAACTACATTGTTTGCTGTAAGGTGCCACACCTCTTTTTCCATGCTTTGACTTAGAAATATTGAGCTATATGCTGTTATTTGGTTAATGGTATGGTGTCCATCCCAGTTTAACAACGAAGAGTACAGATGTCAAATGGTTACGATGGCTTTAAGGATTGTTTTTTCCTTGCTCAACCCGGCTGTGCTAAACTGGCATGAAACTTCTTCCATCTTTACAAGAAAAGTATAAAAGCTTGTGTATATCATCAACTCATTGTAATTTTCCTGCAGACAATGTTTTGCATTGCAGCTGATTATTGAGCAGGCCTAGCGTGCAAAGACGGTGTTTTTTTTATTTTTTTGTCCCTTTTATCTTGGAAGCAGTTGCAACTGCCGAACAGGTGAACTGCATCAAAGGAATGGCCTTTCTTTAAGGTTTTAAAGGGTCGGACTGCGTATAAAATAGATATTCGCTTTAATTAGTTCAATAAATACCAATTAAAACTATACAATAGGTATTGAAATAGATAATAATAATAAATAAATAAATATATACTAATATGATTTCAGGTTATCGATACCCTACTCTTTATTCTATTAGCACACACTAATTTGTTATGATTTTTTTATTAATATATAAATATTTAATTGCATAAAATTTAAAAATTAAGAACTAAAATATTTTTAAATCGAGGACCAAAAAATTATAAAGAATGACCAAAATATAGATAAAAAAATTTAAGAATAAGAAAACTTTTTTTGAAAATTATAAAAACTAAAATGAATATTATTAATAAATTATTTTTAATGTTTATTAAATAAATATTAAATTGCTGAATAAATTAATATGGGTTGGATATAAGCTGAATAAAGATTTATATAATCGGTAGTTCAGCCCAAGCTCCCTAGTGTGATAAGGAGTGATCTCAAAGACTTGTAGGAAACTTGGACATTGTAATGGCCAATTGAAGACATGAAGCGATTGCGCGCAGGCCCAGCAGGGTAAGAATTTCTCACGATATCTTTGACGAACTTATGAATCTGAAAAAAGCTTGTATTGACTTTAAAAGGGAAATTTTACTCAACGTCAAGTAGCCTCTACCTGGTCAATTTGAGGGTTTAAAGCCAACTTTCTAATGCAGTCACTGCCTGATGCCTGATGCATTTTCATTTCATGGCTCCATTTGATTTTGATTTCATTGGTGTTTCCTGCGCTTAATTTTCAAGTCACATGGGAGTTGTGGGTGGCTTTTCTAAGCCACCATTACCGAGATGTAAAAACATTCAAAATTGCTAGACGCCTTACAATTTAATCACTTAATTTATCTGTACCATTGACATATATATTCAGCATATGAATTTCGTTTCAACTGTCTCCAAAACTTCAAAAATTTCTAATTTGTTTCCTGTAGAAATACATATCTCGTGCAATAGATGCCAGCTTGACGTTGTTTTTGTTAATGAACAATACTTTTTCATGGTGTAATTCAGAATCTTAAAGCATTTAGAGATCGATTTGGAAAAAAATATCCTCAAGAAAACTTAATTGAGATTTACTATGTAGTTGAGGAATTATTTTTTTAATCAAAGGAACCCATTTGATATTTGCAATTCTTATTGTAGGATTCATGATTTTTACATTAAGCCACATAAATTAGTGTAATTTTTAAGGAAAACCCTCTGATTTCCTGATTTGACATTTCCCAGCTTGCGATTGAGATGGCATTGCTTGTTTTTATTACTATATTTATTGGGAACAAACAAGGTCTAAAAGACAAAAGAGCAGCGCCCGCAGTCAGTCGTCGCTTAAACTTTAAACGCGTTGAACGAATATTAGTCCTTATATTTTAATAAAACTAATTAATAGATCCTTGTAGTTTTATAAACTATGAATTTAATCAATCTCTATATTTTGTAAATCCCTTCTGATCATCCTTCCATTAATTCGATCCTTTTATGTTCTCGTACAATTTATTTTATTTTTCCTTTTTTGCTAAAAAAATAACTAAATAAGGGGATGAATTAACAACAACTCCAATGGACTGTTTAATTACCTTCATTGTATGAGGTTAATTAATTAGTTTTGATAAATTACAGGGACTAAATTATAATAAACTCAACTTTAAACAGCAATAAAGCCAGCCGAAGTTACGGTGACTGTGCCACACAAATTTCAACGACGCCGCATTCAATATGAAAACATCCTTTATGGGGATGCCACCTTGTGCTAAGACACTCAATTACCTGTTTTTGCTTTCCCAAAGCCAGAACAGGAAAGAGAAGAACCTGGTGAGGGAGATAAGAAGATTGTTTAAAAAGCTGCATGCAATAAAGTTTCCTTGAATGCTCCTCCATTAATAGAAGGGCAATTCATTTGCATGAAATCATCAACCTCAGCTACGTGTAAGCTCATATGGAGCATATCACCGAATCGAATGGCACGATAGAGATAAGTAACAAGCTTTCATGGAAATTCGGTGTCAAAACTCTACCTTTTTTAATCCATAATAACAATATTTTCGTAACAGTTTATGCATGACTCGATATTAAATATTTTGTCACGATCATATAAAAAAATAATTTTTATATGGTTGGATAGAAAAAAACGTAAGAAAAGAATAGAAATTCTTTTAACTCCCGGCCAATTCCAATTGTTATCAAAACTCGTAGCTAAAGTCGATAAGAAATTAAGTTACTAGGAAAAACAGTTTTTGTAAATATTATCGGGCAGAATCATTCCCAAAATAATTAGAAAATCTGTGTGTATATAGTTCTGTGATTTGTTAATTATATACAATCAATATAACAACTATTGATTGTATATATATAATTATATAACAGCACCTCTCTTCGACAAATGAAATGAGTTAAATTAATTTTAACTGAAATGCTATATTACATATACTGAGATTAAAGACGGAAAGTAATCCCATGGCCTCGTCAATTATCATCGTGACCTGTCCTGAAGCACATATGCCTAGTTAGGTTTTGATTCACCTATGGGGTCGTCTATTATCAAAATAAGCATGAATAAATGGATAGATTTTACTGTTTGGTGCACCACCTACTCGAATCATTGCACCAAAAGGTCCAGCAAGCTAATTGAGCTCGAGAATACATAGAAACATCACGATAGAGTTTTTCTGTATTTTGCCGATTTGTTGAATAATGCTAAGACAGGTCAACATAAATCCTGTGTGAAGGAAGCCCATACCTTTCTCTCTGCCCCCCGCCCATGCATCCTTTTAAATCTCCAACCTTCTCTAGCTCGATCCATTCATCACATCAATGTCCTTCTTTAATTCAACTCTATTTTTACCTTTCCAAAATCAAGGATTTTCTGCTTAGGAATTCAGAATACACACATGCATGATGGATTACTCAACTAGCTAGCTAGGCTGCTATTTATTATTTCCATGCATTATAGGGCATAATGTCTCACATTTTGATTCTTTAATTCGAACCTAGTTTGATATGCTCGATACGCATGTAATTACTTATTTATTAATCAGCAATAGTTTTATTAGCATTAAAAATATCACAATCATTAAATTAATCTTCAAACCTGACCATGTGTTAAATGGGTCCTACAATGCTATCCCATATGAGGCAAAATTGAAAATACAGGAAAAATCCATGATCTAACTTAGTTATTGAATTGCGCATGAAGGGCTTCTGTCTTTCATTTTCTGTCACTGACACGGACCACTTGCTCCCCATTTCAGTCTCAAGCGATGATGACATTCCACATCTAATCCTCTACTATTATTTTAAAACGCAATAAAATCCACTAAAAGAGAGAAAGGTTCTTTCGCATCAGCTCTTCGGTCGGGCCCTACCATCATCCGAAAATATTGTAGTATTTGTTCGGTTCCGATAAGTCCAAAAATCATTTTTGTGGGTTCCACAGTTTATGATTGCCTCCAGTGTTGTGCGCTTTGCGCGGACTACCATCTTATCTATATTTCTGTGATTAAATAAAGCCAAACCTATTCTAAATTCGTAAATAAATTAAAATTTGAATTTCTAATTTTAGATGTGACCTTTTTGAAATTTTATTTTATAAAAATTTAATTCGTTTTTTTGGTTTTTTATAAAAAATAATAGTCCTATAAAATGATCTTATTATAAAAATCATTCACTGAGATTTATCTAAAATTTCTCAAAAAAATTTAAAATTATTTCAAGTTATTGTTTATTTTTCTAGATTTATTTATTTATTTTTTACTTTTTTAAAAAATAAAATAATATATTTTTAAAATATTTTGAAATTTTTATAAATAGATTGAATTTTTTCTAACATGTTAGTAAAATATCAGTTTAAAATAACAAAAAAAATTATTTTTTTTAAAAAGAGAATGATAACTGAAAAATTATACAATAGATTAGATATAAAAAAATTCAAATGAAATCAAATTTAATTTTTAATTTTTAAATAAATCAAAATTAAAAAAATATCTTTCCCATTTAACGAAAATTATATAGTTGCACGCCCAACTTTTTTCTTGAATTTACGTATATCAAAAAAAAAAAAATTCTTCTTTTCTCCCACTTGTAGACGACGGGTTGTGCTGATAAGAAAAAGAAAAATTTTTATAACAAATAAGGTGTAACTAGTAGTATCTATAATAGTTACACGTTAAATTACATTTAGATCTATTAAAAGTGATAAAGAAGATTTTTAAGTTTGTTTTATTTTTTAAAATTTTTTCTCTTTTTTTTATCTTTTTCTTCTCAAAATAAATTTATGAAATAACTACTATATATATCACTAATTACTCTTATTTATTATAAATTTTTTTGCTAAGAAAACACCCTTTGACTGATTACAAGAAAATTGTTTTGAGGTAGAGTATAATTCCGGATGCT